CGTGGCCATGGCGTTCCCGCCCGTGGCTGGGAGCGCAGGGGGTTCAGGCATTGCTGGATAGGTAGGACGGGCGTGAGAAGTGAAACAAAGGAAACCAACCGATCATCTTTGGCAATACGGCTGATAACCTGTAGAAATGGGTTAACAACCACAATGCACCACAAAACAGTAACTACCACCCTGCAAAGCACTTTTACTTGAGCCACGCACAGTAGTAGGTAATGAAGTGTATATACAAGCAATACATGTGACAATAATTACTGTGCAACAACAATAAGGAAATGCTGACGCCGGTGCTTACGTTTTTCTTACGGGCACACAGGTTTTGCTTACGCGGATATTCTGTCTTACGCTGAGCTTACGCTGGCTTACGCTCACCAGAGTTTTGCTTACGCCACACCCTGACATGAGGCCATGAACGCAGGGGTTTAGAGCGGGGCTCAAATCATCTTGAATCCCTTGCTCCTTCTCTTTCTCTGTGGGCTGCATCTGGCAAGGCCAGTGATGCCACCACCGAGAGGATCTGCAAAGCAAACCACCAGCACACGCTAGCTTGGGTTTTTTTCCATTTCAGGTAATGGGACTTTGATGAAAATATGATGAACATGATGGACAACGTATGAGCATGGCATAGCATGGCATAGCATGGCAAAGCATGGCATAGCATGGCAAAGCATGGCATAGCATAGCATAGCATGGCAAAGCATGGCAAAGCATGACAGAGCATGGCATAGCATGGCAAAGCATGGCATAGCATGACGCAGCATGACACAGCATGGCATAGCATGACATAGCCTGACATAGCATGACATAGCATGGCATAGCATGGCATAGCGTGACATAGCATCGCATAGCATGACATAGCAAGACAGAGCATGGCAGAGCATGGCATAGCATGACATAGAATGACAAAGCATGGCATAGCACTGCACAGCATGACACAGCATGGCACAGCATGACATAGCATGGCACAGCATGACATAGCATGGCACAGCATGGCATAGCATGACATAGCATGGCATAGCATGACGCAGCATCAAATAGCATGACACAGCATGACATAGCATGGCACAGCATGACATAGCATGGCATAGCATGGCACAGCATGACATAGCATGGCATAGCATGTTATAGCATGGCATAGCATGACATGGCTAGCATAGCATGGCACAGCATTTCACATCATGGCAGAGCATACATAGCATGGCATAGCATGGCATAGCATGGCATAGCATGGCATTGCACGGCATAGCATGACATAGCATGGCATTAGCATGACATAGCATGGCACTGCATGACATGGCATGACATAGCTTGGCCTAGCATGGCACAGATTGGCATAGCATGGCACAGCATGACACAGCATGACACAGCATGACATAGCTTGGCCTAGCATGGTACAGTATGACATAGCATGACATAGCTTGGCCTAGCATGGCACAGCATGGCATAGCTTGGCCTAGCATGGTACAGCATGACATAGCTTGGCCTAGCATGGCAAAGCATGGCATACAGCATGGCAAAGCATGGCACAGCATGACACAGCATGGCATAGCTTGGCCTAGCATGGTACAGCATGACATGGCATGGCACAGCATGACACAGCATGACATAGCTTGGCCTAGCATGGCACAGCATGGCATAGCATGGCACAGCATGACACAGCATGACACAGCATGACATAGCTTGGCCTAGCATGGTACAGCATGACATAGCATGGCACAGCATGACACAGCATGACATAGCTTGGCCTAGCATGGCACAGCATGGCACAGGATGACATAGCTTGGCCTAGCATGGCACAGCATGGCATAGCATGGCACAGCATGACATAGCTTGGCCTAGCATGGTACAGCATGACATAGCATGACATAGCATGACATAGCTTGGCCTAGCATGGCACAGCATGGCATAGCTTGGCATAGCATGGTACAGCGTGACATAGCATGACATAGCTTGGCCTAGCATGGCACAGCATGACACAGCATGACATAGCTTGGCCTAGCATGGTACAGCATGACATAGCATGACATAGCATGACATAGCTTGGCATAGCATGGCACAGCATGACACAGCATCACATAGCTTGGCCTAGCATGGTACAGCATGAAATAGCATGACATAGCATGACATAGCTTGGCCTAGCATGGCACAGCATGGCATAGCTTGGCATAGCATGGTACAGCGTGACATAGCATGACATAGCTTGGCCTAGCATGGCACAGATTGGCATAGCATGGCACAGCATGACACAGCATGACATAGCTTGGCCTAGCATGGTACAGCATGACATAGCATGACATAGCTTGGCCTAGCATGGCACAGCATGGCATAGCATGGCACAGCATGGTACAGCATGACATAGCATGACATAGCTTGGCCTAGCATGGCACAGCATGGCACAGCATGACACAGCATGACACAGCATGACATAGCTTGGCCTAGCATGGTACAGCATGACATAGCATGGCACAGCATGACACAGCATGACATAGCTTGGCCTAGCATGGCACAGCATGGCATAGCATGACATAGCTTGGCCTAGCATGGCACAGCATGGCATAGCATGGCACAGCATGACATAGCTTGGCCTAGCATGGTACAGCATGACATAGCATGGCACAGCATGACACAGCATGACATAGCTTGGCCTAGCATGGCACAGCATGGCATAGCATGACATAGCTTGGCCTAGCATGGCACAGCATGGCATAGCATGGCACAGCATGACACAGCATGACACAGCATGACATAGCTTGGCCTAGCATTAGCATGGCACAGCATGACACAGCATGACCTAGCTTGGCCTAGCATGGCACAGAATGGCTAGCATGACATAGCTGGCCTAGCATGGCCAACAGCATGCGCATAAGCATGGCACAGCATGCACAGCCATGACACAGCATGACATAGCATGGGCTAGCATGGTACCATAGCATGGTAAGCATGACACAGCATGACATAGCTGGCCTAGCATGGCACAGATGGCATAAGCATGACATTAGGCCTATGGCCTTAGCATGGCATACAGATGCATCAGCTTGGCTGCATGGCACAGCATGGACACAGCATGACATAGCTGGCCTAGCATGGCACAGCATGACACAGCATGGCCAAAGCATGGACACAGCATAGCTTGCTGGCAACAGCATGGCATAGCATGACATAGCTTGGCCTAGCATGGCACAGCATGGCATAGCATGGCACAGCATGACACAGCATGACACAGCATGCATAGCTTGGCCTAGCATGGTACAGCATGACATGGCATGGCCAGCATGACACAGCATGACATAGCTTGGCCTTAGCATATGGCACAGCATGGCAAGCATGACATAGCTTGGCCTAGCATGGCACAGCATGGCATAGCATGGCACACATGACACAGCATGACACAGCATGACATAGCTTGGCCTAGCATGGTACAGCATGACATAGCATGGCACAGCATGACACAGCATGACATAGCTTGGCCTAGCATGGCACAGCATGGCATAGCATGACATAGCTTGGCCTAGCATGGCACAGCATGGCATAGCATGGCACAGCACGTTACAGCATGACACAGCATGACATAGCTTGGCCTAGCATGGTACAGCATGACATAGCATGGCACAGCATGACACAGCATGACATAGCTTGGCCTAGCATGGCACAGCATGACATAGAATGGCACAGCATGACACAGCATGACATAGCTTGGCCTAGCATGGCACAGCATGGCATAGCATGACATAGCTTGGCCTAGCATGGCACAGCATGGCATAGCATGGCACAGCATGACACAGCATGACATAGCTTGGCCCAGCATGGCACAGCATGACATAGCATGGTATAGTGACATAGTATATATGGATCACATGCGCACATCTTGGAATCTTGCCCCGCACCTTCGACACCGAATGGGTTCCATCTGCCTTGATTGACCGCCAGGAATCCAGAGCCGGAAAGTCCTGGCACGTTTCCAAAACCAAAGCAACAGCAACATACAGCAAACATCCTGGCAACAATCATCAACAATCACACCATGTCTGGAGTCACTGGAATCTGGATGTTTTGGAATTTTTGAGATCATCTTTTGTTGTAATCTTTTTCCGTGCGCTTCATCGGACAGCCGTGGTAGCTGGCTTCTTGAAGATGCTAGAGTCGCCTAGCGCTTTCTACTAGCGCAAGAATTCGGCAAGGATTCTTTCAAACTTCAAACCATGAAGAGTCTGAAGCCGGAGTTAGCCCGCTTGAATCAACTGTTGTCCTTCACTGTTGGCTTGGGGAGTTACGACAAATGGTTCTTTATACATTGATAAGGATACACCCCGGCAGAAGCAAAATTTTGAATCCTGTCGCAAAACGTTTTCCTGAGTGGCTGTGGGCCAGGGGCTGCCTGTGGCATGTTGGTATTGTTGGGTCCTTCTAGGAAGGGACGCTTTGTAGCTGGCAGTGCTTGGGTTACTGCCTTTGTAGCCAAACAGTAACCATTCTTGTCAACATTGCTGATGTTGCAGCGGCATCTCAGGTTGGTCCATTCTGCAGAATAGAAAATAGATATCTCAAATTATCTCAGTAATTCTCAGATATTCTCAGTAATTATATCAAATCTCATCCCTTCCAAACCATTTCTGCCTACAGGTCGGACAAGTGAGCCGGAGAATCGCTTTGCGATTCCGACTCTGTCCAACAAAGCATGGTACAGACGATTGGCTGTGCCACGCAGCACCTCCGAAGATAAGCTGCAAATAGATCAGAAATGCTGAGATGGTGAAGCAAACAATCACCTACCAGCAAAGCTCACCTTCGACTCCCACTGTACAAGGCTCAAGAAGCACAAGGGAGACATCAAACCTTCCATGACTGCATCGACAAGGATGTGCGTGTATGTCACACCATTGGAGCAATCTGACCACTTCCTTCGATTAGAAAGGCAATCTCTATTCTGGCAGCGTCAGGACTGGTCAGGCTTGCCGAAGACTCTCAGAACATGAGTTTGTGAACATGAAATGGCTCTACAATCAGTTTTGCAGACCCAATGCTGCCATTAGAAAACATGAGAAGCCTCACTCATCTGTCTCTCAATCTTGGAGCTCAAAAAACGCGATGCTTTGACTTCAGTGTTCAATGTTGCTAAGGCTTTGCGAAGCTGAAGAGTCATCGTGTCGAGTTTCCACATCATAGTAGACTGTGCCTAGCATTGTTTGGCTTTATGACAAGCCTGTGCAAGTGGTCAATTAAGAAAGTCGCACAACACAGGGTTTTGTCTTCTTCCGGGAAAGAACCAATGACTAGGTTATACATTGTTACATGTCAACCTCTCATATAAATCAGGAAATATATTATAAACATGCACAGATTCTGCGCGTGTATTATGCATATATATATATATATTATACACACTTTTTCTTGGCATATATACCTACGAAATCCTCAGGCCGTAATAATATATAACCATGGTCTGAATGCATTCAGGCTGAACATTTAGCCCGAGGATGCCCGAGGCACTTTGTGCAAAAAGTGCTGGTTCAATGGTATTGAGATCAATTTCACATGTTGAATGGCATGGATAAGGGGATGCATAGTTCAGAAATCCCAGAAGAAATTGTCCCATAAGATCATGCAACCTCCCCTGCAGATCAGCAATGTTAGAAGGACAAAGCAGCAGTCCAGTTAGTTTTTGATTAGTAAATCTGGCTGGCTTCCATCCCCAAACTATAACTTCGCATTCAAAGATGATCCTGGACATGGCGATAGGTAATTCAATCATGATTTGAAGTCAAAAAAATGAAAAATCAGGATTTGAACCTTGAAAAAAAACATGAAAAAATAAAATTTTGAGCATTGGCATTTTTTGCCTGATTACTACGATTTTTTGCTTGAGTTGTTCAATGACAATTTTTGGTTATTGACCAAATTCAGCCCGATTCGTTCAAATTCGTTCATAAAATCAGGTTTGCATTTCTGAACTAAACTTGAAATCCCAGGGTCTCAAAACCAGTATAGTGGAAATAAGATGCTTCATGAACCTGTGCAAAGCTGGCAAGATATCTTTTACATCCAACACACTTCAAGCGTGCCACAGTGTGGTGACTTTTTGGATTCTGAATTATTGAGCTCTTTTTTCATCTAGCTGCTAGCTTTTACCAAAAGAGAAAAGGATGCAGTAGGCATCGGGATGGCCAAGTAAGTAGTTCTTCAATTCTTTCCTGGTTTGAACCTGACTTCTTGCCAAATTCAGGTTCAGATTCAATCGAATCAGCCTGCGATCACCCTCAGAACAAAATTTCAGTCTGAGACCCAAAAATTGTTTTTTCCTCTTCAGGCTAAAATTATGTCCTGTTGGAGTTCCTGTGTATATATTAATATTATCACTATGATTGTTGTTATTATTGCTATATAATATGCATTATGCATCATTATGCATATTTTATATCAAATGATCAGTCCTGATTGGTCTCAGTGGTCAAAGTTGACACTGCAAAGCAGTCTCCAGCTAGTTAGCCGCATATTTCAAAAAAACAAAACATGTAAAAGATGTAAAAGCACCAGTGAGATATACCACTCTTGAAAACTCACATAAGCGCACTTCTCATTCGGATGCCAACCTCGGATTGCACCCGCATCATTTGAGAGGCAATGGACTTCACCTGAATGCTCGTAGCATTGCCGCGAAGCCTCACACTTTTGCAGGAGAAAACTGGATAATTTGGATATCAACATGTCATACATTGTATCAAGAGGTGTCAAAGCTGCCGGCTCAAATACTCCCGGCCTCATCGCGTGGTGGATGAAGTCCTCGATTTCCACGCTCTCAGCTGGTTGACCACTAGTGAGGCTGACAAAGAACTCGTGCACGTCATGAACATCGAGACCACATGCCTGTGCAGCAATTTGCAGAAGCATCGGACCAGCCCTTCTCTGTGGATTTTCATAACCGCTTGCACACAGCAAACAGCATTGTGAGCCGTTCCTTCCCATGGAAATCCCATGTATTCTTGGCTAGCTTGGGGCAACAAACAGCAACAGTCTTTGGAAACAGCTAACGCCTTCAGCCGTGCAAAGCCATCATTGTTGTTTTGCATGTACCTTGGTTGCCCGCAGGGCTAAAGAACAACGTGCGCAAAAGAATGCAAAGGAAATGTGCTGGTGCTTTCCCCCATGTGAATGATAGATTTACGGATTGGTTTAGGATCACTAATGGTCGTTTTTATTGAGTCATTGAATTCTGCTTGTGCGCAGCAACTCCTCTGCACACTAGAGAATTCGTTCGGAAGAACCATTCCCGCATGGCAACGCTCCGAAAAGTGAAGAACTGAAAAGTAGGCTATCTCATCAATGCTGCCTTCAGGTAGCCTAGAAGAGACGACTTCAACAAATTCCACACCTAATTTTGGCAACCCTGTGTGCGGAGAGGCGACTTTCACCTTGCCTTTGCCTGTACATATTCTTGTTAGGTAGCTATGGATAGCTACAATACATCAAGGACGATAAACAAGTGAGCCGGCACCCCAACAATTTCCAAAAAAGGCAGCTGTGTAGCATATTGATCTCCGGCACTCCAAATGCAACATATGCAAATATAGATAAATACAAATATTATATACTCATGATAAATCATCATAATCCTTCTGGGCCTAGCCAGAAGATGCACCAATCACTGTGTGGTTTTGTTTCTACTGGTAACTTCGCATACTGAATACTCAACGACACTTTTCTGCAAGTATCCTTCAAGCACATGGGTGCAAACAGCTAATTCTCAATACCATTGCTAGTAGGACAAATGCTCTGAAGGGGATGTTTGGACAGTGTTCACCCTCCCGACCAAATCCCCCAATGTATGCTCTGTGTAGCCAAGTGTACGCTTCAAACTCTGGCCAAGCAATCCGACCATTGCCATCAAAGTCGATCCTATTGCAGATTTGCCGAAGATCTTGGGCATCTTCTCGTTCTTGTTTCATGTACTCCACCGCCCGGTCCGCTTGATCAGACATGTGAAGAGCTTTCTCAACGAATATGCCCGTCAAGATATTGAACACGGCGATGGTGAAAAATGCAATGTAGAAAAGGAATGCCTTAGCTTCAAAAACTCTCCAGGCACAAGATGGACGGTATGCCCATTCTACCAGTGGCCCGTCGCATCCTAAAACCAAAACACACCGAAATAGGGTGTTGAAAGCGATTGAAAGTGTTGAAATCATCCTTTCAATTCTGGCAATTGAATTTCAATTGGGGAAATTATATGAAATTATGACAAGCAATAAAAGCACTTTCTGAAGAAGTAACTGCGGGGCTGACTGAGCAAAGGTTCCTAATGGCTCCAAAAGAGCATGCACCTCGATCCAATCCAAACCACCAGTCGTCGCACCAAATAAGCAAATCATTGTGCCTGCCACTGATGGGAACCACTCCTTGGTTGTTCAGACAAAACGAATGTGAACACTCTGGACATGCCAGCCGGAGACCTTTGTTACACAGTCTGTGGAAACACTTTAGTGGACCTAACAAATCGGGGCAACATGAAGTTTGCGTGCCCATGGCCCATGGCCGTAGGAAAGTTCACATTGGATTGAGCAGGTTCTCCAGAAATGACCACCCGCAATGCATGAAAAAGCGACTGTCGGCATCTCAAGCAAACATAAGCAAAGCGTCTAAGAGCTTCGGTGTGTTTGGCGCGTCCGGATTTACTGCCTCAGACTCTCTGCAGAGATGGCAGGTGGGGTGCGTTGATGATCGTTGATGTGGCACGATTTCCAACATCAGTCTACCTCACCCAATGCCTTCCTGGAAACGCTATGAACGGCCGTGAATTGCTGGGAAATGACCGCACAAGGCACAAACAGGTTTCCAATGGTTTCCAAGCACAGCCAAAACACCTGCCAACTCCCTAACTCGGCATGGATCAAACCTTGAATTTGTTGGATTGACATCTGACAGAGAGCCAATTCTGACAAAGTGCAACGTAGGATGTCACCAGCTGCACGAAAAGAATCGAGAAAACCACCTCGACGATCAAGAGCACCTGGAAGCAAGCGATGCGAGCTTTGTTTTCACTAGGAGGAACATGGTATGATCATGTTCCATGAAAGGAAATGATCTGATATAAGTGATGGCTTCCGGCTGCACTTCTTTCATTGAAAATCCTTGAAGTTTAAAACCGCAAACATGCCTGCGCTTGTGGGAATGGATGTGAGATGTGCTGTGTACATCAATACAGTGTCTTTAGCCTTTCAGCTTGAGGAGTCATCGCAAATTGTGCAGGGAGCATTCAGCTTGTTGTGAAGCTGCACACCGTGTGATTGCCGGTCAAAGAATTTGACATTTGCTTAGGGGCAGAAGGCAGGAGTGCCCTTTTTCAACAACTGTGCTCGACAAAAGATTTTGGAACCACAACTTTGGGATCACACTTGTGTAGCTATGCTTCCCAAATCTCGTTTCCAAAAACCCAGCCACTAACAAGCTCCAAACCAGTGCCATGGCGGACCCAACAATGGAGGAGACCATGATGCCTTAGAGCACAAGCCGGCGCGAAACCATTTATTTTTCAACCAGTTGTCTAATATGTTTGTTGTCATTGCCTAGGTATCTCACACACACAGTATTTCACCGGTAATCACTCAACACTTCAGTGATTGCAGCTTCTGCATGACATTTCTCACCTCCAACCTCTATAGCTGCAACCTGCATAGCAGTCTGGGGAGGGCACATAAGCATATCATAGCATATCAAATCAATTCAAATCATATGGCAGTGTACCCCTGGTGAACATCAAAATAGCTGGTAAATGGATGTTCATCCCCCTAAAAATGGTATTATATAATGGGTATTGATCCTGGTCCATACCCATATGAATTCCATGAATATAACCTGTCGACATGCAGTGTTTTCAGATGAGCTTCGCAACTGCCGGACGAAGGAGATCACACGCAGTCCCCGCAGAATTCGAGACACCTGATGGCGAAAGGGATGAGGAGCAGGATCAGGTTTTTATATGTTTTTATGATTGCAAATAAGTGATTGACATAGCAGAATACTGTATATCATGACTTCATTCATATCTTTTACACTGTTTTCCTTCAAACAATACGTTTCCAATTCATTTATGCTGCATTTCTTTCGTAGAGTTATACCAAAAGACGGCGCAATTTATCTGTTATCTTTTTTGTAAAAATATGTAAAAATTATGTTTGCAATGGTGTTTTTAATCAAGCAGGAATTCCATGGTATTCCACATTGCTCCAAAGCTGGCTCACAGTGAGTTACCGGCATGTCACTACGATTTTTCCCTTTCCTGATATACACGAATACTTACCATTATGCACCCCCCCAAAGAAAAAAAGGCTTCCATGGTCTCCCATGCAGCTCAATGTATGTAATTGCAATTTGTCACCCGTTTTGCAGGATAGCTGGCACATGCTGGCACAAGTATTGTTAGATCTTTTCAGTGACCTTGATGAAGCGAAAGGACCGAAGGAAGCTCATGTTCGTGCCACTCACGGACTCCAGAAGGGAGTTGACTGCACTCAGAGCTGATAGAATGGCCATCAAAGCGTCGAACACATTCCATCTCCATTCAGCGCACCAAAAGAAGTAGAGTTTGTGGACCTAGGGTGTGCCGCGCATCAAGGAAAAATAAGGAAAATAACATAAAATGATATAAAATGACTCTCAACGGTTTGCATCTATCACTGCGCTCCGTGGCAGTATGCTATGTCTGTGCACCTGCATTAGCACAACAAGCCAACAAAATATAGTCTCACATAGTCTCACTAAAGCTTGAAACAGCGCACTGATAGCTTCAGCAGGAATTCCAAAACGTAGAAGGCACTGAAGGCCAACTCCGCAATGCTTAGCCAAGTAAAGGTCTCAGTGCTTTGGTTCTGTATGAGCACGTCAGCCTCATAGATAGTAACCGCTGTGTTAGCCAGAATCACGCACACCACTACGATGGCAAAAGCAGTGGAGCTGGTGAAATGTGCCAAACAGCCAGTGCGGGGTGGTTCGTTGAGTGACTCCAAAAACTCCACACACTTCAAGAAGCGATTGGCACAGCGCTCCCCACAGGGTACCTGTCTGACCATAGCACCAAGGCCATGTGGGTCAGCCATTTCTCGGGCAACGTGCATCAGGGGGCTGTTGTTGGAGATCAACTTCTCCCTTGCAGAAAGCCGGCGTCGCTTTTTGGAAACGCCACGTCTGGGCTCCAGACCTTCAAACAGAGGACCTTTGTCGATGAAACTTTCCATTCCTCTTCGCAAGGCGATTGAATCTTCTTCGTTTACAACAGTTGGTGGCACTTGCAAATAAACGCCATCTGGCACCAAGCTCTCTCCATTTGACTCGCTCTGGTACATCTGGTTGTCATCGTCCAACCCGGCCAACCCGGCCAACCCCTCACTTGGGAGTTGGCCCGGCGATCGTGCCTCGCTTGGGGGTCGGCCCGGGGATCGTTCGCCTGGGAGTTGGCCCGGCGATCGTAGCTTTGAGGATCGTTCGCCGCTCGAGGATTGGTTGGTATGGCGCAGCATCTTCTTGACCAACTCCTCAGTACCAAAATGATGATCCAACTGCAAGCGCTAGTCTTAGGTCTTAGATCCCCCGGAATATCCCCTGCCTTTCCAAAATCATATGTTCATGAAGTTCATTGCCGTCATTATATATTGGAACACTACACCTCAAAACGCTTTTCTTTAGCTCACTTCCAGAAATGTAAAGCCGCCTTAAAGAACCTATCTGAGCAAGGCTCATTGGCTGCAATCATGTGCTCCCGATGGGATGCTTGAAACTGTGAATTGAGTCGTGCCCACTCTGCCGCCCATTGAGTCTTCTGCACATTCTGCACATCATTGTCCTGAGGCTCTGAGGATCTCTGAGGTGTGAAGGCGTGAGATCATCCCCTTGAATCATTGGCCAACATGCCATGTGATCCACGTGCATCCATTATGTCCATTATCGGTGGCATCCCAGTGACCTCCCACAATTGGATAAAATTGTCCGATGGCAGGACCTGTTTGCCGCCTGCTTTGAGGCTTCAATTATGCTTTCGTGGAAGAGCTCTAGGGACTCTAGGGCTCAGCCCTCATGTCAAGAGAAAGGCTTTGATCATGCTACCGCGAAAGAAAAGGAAAGCGCTTAGCACAGGCTTGGCATGGCTTATTTATCTTACTCGAAGTCTCCAATCTTGACATTTATGCACCACCTTGGGACTCTCTCAGCTCCAGGGTAGCTGGCAGCTTGCCCCTTTGAATTCAAAGGTTATCTTCATATTATCTCTATGTTTCTCTTCTACATTCGATTTCGGGGATCATGATACATAATACGCGTTAATACGGATATGTCATCATGTGTCTATACTATACATCCACCGTACTTTCAGCAGAGTTGCAACCACTGGAAGCGGGTCCGCTTGGTCTGCTCCAGTCTCACAGCAATGATGCAACATGCGGCCGCTGTCAGCTGTCACTTGGGAGACTTCAACTGTGCACGCATCTTGAGCCACAGCAACGAGGCAAGTCTGGGAAGAAACACTGGGATGATTTGATGCCAAAGTTTGGGCAGGATGGCAGGATGTGACAAACCTGGACCTATCCAGGACATATCGGATGTATGGGACCTATTTCATCCTATTTCCATGCAGAAACAATTGGACCTATTGGCATGTCAATGGTGTCGTTGTTCAGTGTGCCCTGTGACATTGGACCATCCTGGACCCGACAAGCACTGGCCTCCGCCCTCTCGCTGCCTGGGATTGGCGCTATCCCTTGCTATGCTTTTGGGTCAGCATGAGCCAGCCATACGCGAAAGGCCAAACGCATGAGTTGCTGCCGTTGAAAGAGATTGAAAGGACATGACAGGAGATGTGATCGTGACTGTCATGACTCCTGACACGGCTGGGACGAAGTCAAACGAAGTCTCTTTCATCTTGGGCGTCAACTGACCGTGGTCTCTTCCATCACCTACAAAAAAACAAATGGAGACGAAACATGACGAAACCACTGAGACCATGTTGGAAACACTTGGAAGTGCAACTTCAATCAACTTCATATGCATGATTATGCATGATATTACATGGCACTATTCTTGATATCGACAGAGTCGAAGCAATCGTCTTCTCTAATTATTGCCCAGTGTTCGATGTATGTGTGTATGTATTGTATTGTAATGTAATGTTATGTAATGTTATGCAATGTTGTGTCATAATGTTATGTCGTAATGTTATGTCGTAATGTTATGTAATATTATGTTATGTTATGTTATGTAATGTTTTGTAATGTTATGTAATGTTATGTAATGCAATGTGATGTTATGTAATGTTTTGTAATGTAATGTAATGTTATGTTATGTAATGTTATGTTATGTAATGTTATGTTATGTAATGTTATGTAATGTTATGTAATGTTATGTAATGTTATGTAATGTTATGTAATGCGACGTAATGCTATGTAATACAATGTAATGTAATGTTATGCAATGCTATGTAATGTTATACAATGTAATGTAATGTTATGTTATGTATGTATTTTTGTTATGCATGTAATGTATGTACGTTCTGTATGTATGTTCTGTATTGCACCAGGTTGTATAGAATTGTATTGGCGTTTGTATTTGCATTTGTATTCGCATATATATATTATATCTTGTTGTATTGTGACGTATGTAATGGTATGTGTGTAATGGTTTGTATGTGATGGTATGTCTGTAATGGCATGTATGTAACGGTATGTATGTAGTGGTATGTATGTAATGGTGTGTGTGTATGTTATGTTCTGCTGTGATATGCTATGTAAAATATTGTTATGTATTGTGATATTGTTTTGTGTGTAATGTACGTTATGTATGTATGTTGTGTATCTTATGTAGTGTTATGTATGCTATGTATGTTATGTATGTTATGTATGTTATGTATGTTTTGTATGTTATGTATGTTATGCATGTTATGTATGTTATGTATGTATATGTATGTCATGTATGTTATGTATGTTATGTTTGTATTGCAATGTATATACTGTAATGTATGTCTTGTAATGTGTGATGTGTAATGTATGAATGAGAACTGTATGCATGTAATGTTATGTATGTAGTGTTATGTATGTATGTATGTATGTATGTAATGTAGTGTAGCGTAGCGTAGCGTAGTGTAGCGTAGCGTAGCGTAATGTCATGCATGCATGCATGCATGCATGCATGTGTATGTATGTATGTATGCATGGTAATGTATATGTATGTATTCATGTAGGTAGGTACGTAGGTAGGTACGTATGTCTGTCTGTCCGTCCGTCTGTCTGTATGTATGTCGTATGTAGGTAAATGTAGGTATATGTAGGTACAAGTATATGTAGGCATATGTAGGTACATGTGGGTATATGTAGGTATATGTAGGTGTATGTAGGTATATGTAGGTATATTCATAGAAGATTGGTCTGACCACCATGGGTCTGACCCCCATGCGGGGGTATATATGCAGGGGGTATATATGCAGGCTTTGGTGGTTAAGGCCATGTCAAAGTTATGTGCCAACTACGGGTCAATTACCCAAGACACAAGTAATCAGGCTTGAATGCAGTCCTTTTTTGGACATCGGGCGCATGTCAGGGACATCTACCAGATGTTTTTCTTGCCATTTTGTTCCCCTTAGGGATCTTGGCAGTCATTTCTTCTTTCTTTGAAGGTCCTGACTTGTGAGGTTTGGCTGGTATTTTTTTTACCAGCAATGGGCTGACTCTTTTTTCCCTTAGAAAAGGCAGAGCCGATCTTCAGCCAAGAAATTCATCTCTAGGTATTTCTAGGACACGCATGTCAGGGCTGTACATGGTATGGGGGTCAGATACCCAGTTCCCCACCTAATTCTGGGGTCTGAGCCCTCTCAACCTTTATGTTTTTTATGCTTTTTTTGTGCTTCTTTTTTCTTATTTTGAAAACCATTTGGGTGACCATACCCCCCAAAAGATGCACCAGGAAAAATCTAGGTTAATTCATCTCCCAAATGGTTGTCTTTGTAACTCGAATCCGACGCCAGTTCGATTCCCATAGATACATGTCTTCGCAAACACCCCTCCTTCTTTACAAACAATCTCATTTTCACATCTCGCATTAGCGGGACAATTTCAGGGTACCAGCTAGTTTCTGACACTGACTCAGGCTCCATTTCCATGTTTGAGCCAAAGATCTTTCAACGATAGGCCGACACGATTCAGGGGCTGAAAATATGTCAGAAGAAGAAGTTTCCTGAAAATCATTGAAATTAACAGTGGGTATCTGACAGTAACTGACAATAAGAGTAAGAAAACATGAAAGAAAAAACGCAATAAACATACAAAAACACAAAAAAAAAACATTATATGAACAAAAAAAACTTAAGAAAACAAGTAAAAAATACTTAAAAAAGAAGACAAATAAAAACACATTTTAAAAAAAAACCGATCCAGCAATTTTGTGCTTTCTATGGGGTCACATCCAACAGGGTCAGAGGATCTGCCTGTGATATATGTAGGTGTATGTAGGTATATGTATGTATATGTAGGTATAGATATAGGTAGGTATGTAGGTAGGTAGGTACGTAGGTACGTATGCATCTACTGTATGTATCTATGTATCTATGTATCTATGTATCTATCTATGTATCTATGTATCTATGTATGTATGCAGGTATGTAATGGTGTGTATCTAATGTTGTGTATTTAATGTTGTGTATAGCATGTTATGTATCGAATGTTAAGTATGGAATGTTATGTATGTAATGTTATGTATGTAATGTTATGGATGTAATGTAGTGTATGTAATGTAATGTAATTTACTGTAGCGGAATGTAATGTATGTAATGTCTGTAATGTATGTGGTGTGTGTAATGTATGTGATATATGTAATGTAATGGAATGAAATGAAATATAATGTAATGCAATGATGTAGTAATGTAATGTAATGTAGCAATGTAATGTAATGTAGCAATGTAATGCAATGTAATGTAATGTGGTAGTGTCATGTAATCTAATGCAATCCAATGTAATCTAATGTACTGTACTGTAATGTATGTATGCATATGCATGTTTGTGTGTGATAGTGTGGTATAGTTCAGCGTTGTATAGTGTAGTATAGTAAAGCATAGCATAGTATAATATAGTGTAGTATAGTATAATATATTACTAAATTACGTATGTAATGTATGTAATGTATGTAATGTATGTAATGTATGTAATGTATGTAATGTATGTAATGTATGTAATGTATGTAATGTATGTAATGTACAGTATGTATGTAATGTGATGTGATGTGATGTGGTGTCATGTCATATCATGTCATGCCATGTAATGTAAGCATGCATGCATGCATGTAATGTTATGTTTTGTCATGTTATCTTATGTTCTGTTATTTAATGTAAGGTATGGCATCGTATGGTGTATGCATGCACTTTTTAATATTATATCGTTATACCGTTATACCATATATTTTTCATAACCTGTGCAATTGGATCTAAATGGGATTTGACAAAGTTTTTTGAGCACATCCATTTTTTCTGATCCTGCAACATTCATGGCTTCCTGCAATCGCAGGGCCACATGAAAACGTTTAAACACATGACAGAAGAGCCATCTCGAACTTAAAACATAGGGCCGGAGATGGGAGACCTCATGATGCTCCTCGTGGAAATGGAATGTCCGTCCCTTGCAGCAAGTGTTTGAAATTTTGGATATGAATTTCTGCTTCGAATTGCCACACTTCATCTCCTTCCACCTCGGCTTGAGCGTTCTGGACAGGGCCGATGCGAAAGTCCCCAAGCATTGTTCCTCCTGGAGTCAATAGCTCAACTCCTTCCACCTGCCGTGATTTCTGCCGTCCATGGAAAGACGAATTCACCTCCTCTTCGATCCAGTTCTGGATTTCATTGCGCCAATGGGGGTCGAGCCACTCCGTGAGGTTTGCTAACCGTTGCTGCTTTCCTGATGGCAGTTCGGCAAATTCAATAGTCGCAGACTTCACAGTGAAACCAAGATCCCCGGACAAGGGATCAATCACAAGGCAGATCCTTTCCAGTTCTTCTACGTCACGAACATGTCGTGTCAGTGGATAGGACATGGCACAGGCACTGTCAGGACGCTCAGAGATGGCCCCCTCAATGTCAGCAAACTTGCCAGGCTGGCCGAGCAAAAAATGCATATCACCAGGGCCAGGGACACCACCACCATGGCCAGCATCATCCGATGACTCATGACCTTCCTTGATGATCCCGATGAAGTGACCTGTGCTCCCTAACTGCACCATGAAAAGCTTGGCTTTGAACTTCATCTGCTCATTGTCCACTAAGTGGATTAGTCCACTGCTGGGAGTCATAGAGGAACGGTCTACGATGGATTGAAAGTGCTCCTGATCATCTGCCATCACAAAGTCTCTGAAGCTCCTGTTGAGGATCTGATCCTCACTGACCTTGAGGATACCCAACAAACTGCTGGAAGGCTTTGAAACATGAAGATCCTTGCAGAGAGATGCGCAGGCGTCGCAGGTCACACTTAAGAGCTGCCTTACACCCAGAGAGAGACTATTTGCTTCTTCCGCGCACGTCTCCGCCGAGATAGTTGCAAGCATTTGTTTTGAGAATGCCCAATCATTCTTACAATGAGCCATGACAATAGAAAGCGAGCCTACTAATTCGGCAACAAGGATGTGCATGAAATCGATCGAAGCTGCATTGGTGGATGCCTTCAGCCAGGACATTCCGACATTCACAGGAACTGAAGCCACTTGCATTCGCCAATACCAGACAGGTTCAGGCACAATCTCCAGCAGCACTAAACGCGTGAGCATGGCAACTGGTTGGAGATAGGGAGGCGCTAGGCACATGGTCACTGTGACACTTACAAAGATCAACACCGTATCTCTGACTGTCGACTCCTCTGTGCCAAAGGTAAAAACAAAACGTAGTACCAAGCCAAAAGCAAGCACCACCAGGCCATAGCTCATTTGAGCGAAAGACACAAAGGATCCGGATCCCAAGGGGCCAAATCCAAGGCCCTGACTTCCATCGAAGTAAGTGCCAACATCAATAGCTATGAAGAGGAGCACAGTAGCGTCATTAGCCAAGATCCACCATGGGAGGAATTTGGAAAAGGCTTCAACTCGGCTCTGATGTTTTCGTCTTTGCTGCTCTGCATCTTCTGTGATGAAGCAGCCGTCAAAGCTTGCTGCCCGCAGAAGGTCCTGACAGGGCCGGCCTAATACAAAGACCAAACTCAATGAAATCTGGCCGATAGCAAATGTGATGAGAAGCCCGAGGGCCGGATCCGGCATGCAGGGCACATCGAGAGGCATAATATTTAAAGTGCAGGCGCTGTCGGCTGCTTGATAATGTAATGCTGCCATGCAGTCGCACGTGCACTGCCGTGCACTACTGTGTTTCCGAACATGGTTTCCTTTTTGCGCAAATTATTTAGAAACTAAGGCCCCAACAAAAAAAAACAAACGAACCAAAAAATGTATGATACTAGTAACGCGCAGTTGTGTCTAGGGCACTCCTGGTCAGACATGGTCAAACCCAGTTGCTAACCCAACACCATCTTAAAATGCAATGTGCTCATGCCAACCATCATTGTCCATCCTTGTCCGTCCAGAAGTGTTGTTCAGAAGCTAAGGTCCCAGCAGACGGTGGATGCGCCCACCTTTTTGGAAGCTCTTTCTAATCAGCTTGTCCCTCGTATCAACTCTTATGCCCCGCTGTACAAGAAATTGCTCCATTGCTCTTGCGAAAAAACTCTCATACTCACAGCTAGCACTCATCAAAGTCAAATCTCTTTGAGTTGCAAATTGGAGAAAGTCTCAGGTTCTCACTCGGTCCCAGGTTTGATTTGGCCCTTGACGTCTTTGACTTGGTTGTTCCATGCCTTTCCAAACCGTTGGCGTCCGAGGCCGCAGCTCGATGATGGGCCCCAAAGCATGGTGGAAGTCCTAGGACATCAACCCTTGGGCCCTTGGGTTGCCCAGCACCATACAGCCTCTCTTCATGCAGGGACAACTGAAACTTATCACATGTACCAATATCTTATGTTATATGATCTGTATATGTAGCCCACTATTATATATATATATATATATTCCCTAATACCTTTGTTGATCTTCCCAACGGGATGCAGAATTGCAACAACATTTGATTGGGAATGGGGACCCTCTACGCTGCAACGGCTGGGCAAAGCCCAGGCGTTGCGCGCACATATATATATATATATACATATTATAGTATCATTAATCCATGTATATACATGTATAATTAACAATATACATCTATACATATACTGTGTATAAATATGTATATATACAGTATACTGCTTACAACAACAACAACAACAACAACAACAACAACAACAACAACAACAACAACAACAACAACTTCAACTTCAACTTTCCCTGAGAGCTGGGCTATCAAGAGAATAGCAGCCACAGGACCACGACCTATCCAGCTGAAGCACGTGCAAGCTCGTGCAAGTCACCAATATCATCCATACGTCACACAAGCCCACGAAACATGTCAAAATGCAAGCACGGCTCCAAGAGAATGCCCGTACTCCGTACTGGATTGAAAGTTTGCATAAAAACACCTCTTCTCACTCTATACCATCTGACACCACGGTCGAAGTCTTTCCTGGCGCAGCACGCTCTTCCAAGTCTTTGCAGCGCGGTGCCTTGCTCCCTGTGCTGCTCCTTGATGTCCTGACAGTGGAGCCTAGATCAAAGGCCTCCTTCGAAAGAAATCGATTGGAAGTCACGAACGTTGCAAACCTTGGTCCAATTGGTTCAGCACGGCATAGGTTCACTGCATTTGGGAAGTGCAAAATAGTGCGAATGAGTATAGAATGATCAAAGCTCTTTGACTGTTATTGAACAAAGCAGAAGAAACCACACACCATTCACTATTAATTATTAAATATATTATTATTCATTCACTATCAAGTAACCAGGTAGTCTTCACTTCCCTGCCTTAGCCGAGCCTTGCTAATGTTCTGGTTCTAAAACCCGGTGTAAGCGTTGGTGTCAGTACTGTCAGTTTCAACTATGCCGACATGCGTCAGTACTGCTGGCGGAAGTCTCAGCGACAACCTCGAAGAATTCACCTCAAAAATCAGTCCCCCAGCCCCTTCCTTCACACTTTCTGACACTGTGTACATTCATTGTACATTCATGACATTCTCATACATTCTCTATCTTCTTCTTTGGGCCTTGGGTATGATAAATCAAATGCTGCAGTGTGCTGCATGAAAATACAGGTTGGGTCTTTTCTCGCCTGCTTACCGGAACTAATATCCTTCGGGAAAAATAAAGGGGTCGGTTTGGTACACCAATTATGAAATCATCAGCATATTGGTTGTTCAACGTGACAACTCTTAGCGACATCATGCGACATCTACGATCACCAGAAATTGCTAAAGTCTCCCACGGAAATCATCTTTAGCAGAAAAATCCTCCATAGTCTTCCAGTCCCTTCCAGTCTTGCAGCCATGACTCTGTCGCTGGCCTCTCCGTCGGGTTCGCCGCCTGGGCAGAACTTGCCATGACATGCCGTGAAGTTTGCAGCTTGGCAAGTCAACGCACGAGTCCGCAAAGAGAGATGCATACCACGGCAATGCATATGTATACAAATGCATTATGTATATTTACATATACACAATTATATCTATAATTATATACCATACGTATATATATATAATGTGTGTGTGCCTTTGTATTGATTGATATGCTTGATGTAAGACTATTGTATATAGTGGGGAAATGCATTGTCCGAATCCATTTGAATCCATTTAACTCCACTTGAATCCCACGAATAGTGGGACGGTGGGACGCTCTTCCTTTTCCACTTTTCCACCCCCTGCAACTTTTCCGGCCGGCCTTCGCGTCGACTCACCTCCAAAGTTAAGTCTCGCCTCGTTTGGTCGCTGTCCATGACAATTTCATGTCACTGTTCTTGCCAACTAATTAATAGGAGTTCGGAGCTTGTTCAGAAAATTACTCAGAACATGGGAAGGATGGTGAGAAACCGGTGAAAAACAAGCGAAACACTTACACAAATATGGTCAACATTTTGATCAACTTTGTTGATCTCACATAACCATACTGGCCCCAAGGACAATCTGGAAGCAGAACCCCTTGAGGGCTTCTGTTGTCGCGCCAAGAGACTCTTCTCCTGGTGCTAGCGATGCGACCAAGACTGGTTGACGAAACAAGCGTCCCAAGTTCCTGGGCAAACGGACAAAGGTCCCTGGAACATCTTGCTTCATTGTAACAATTTGTAACATCTAAAAGATCGCCAGGAACGATGTGATATCGATTCACATAAGAGGATACGGCGCAAGTACTGCATAAGAAAGTAAAAGAATTTGAGGGACACTCACCTTGACCGCCTAAAATTCTGCAGTTGTTGGGTTATACATAGGGATTTATGGGCCCGTATTCTCAGTATGTCAGTTTTTCTGAATCAGTTGTTCTCTTCCACCTAGCCAGGGCCGTGATTCAAAACAGCAGCCCAAACAGAGGATAATAGATAATAATAGATATATCTTGAGATGGGGCAGAACCCAAATATATGGTACATTTATGGATCATTATGCTCCATTCTAATTAGACATCCTCTATCACGATACATGGGTGGTAAACATCATCCCCAAATGCTAAACTTGCCGCTGGCTTGCATTTTTTTGCAGCCTTGAACCTCAACTGAAGCCTCCAAACCTCAAAAACTGCAAACTATAGAGGCACAACATCCTATGCCCAATCTTGCCGCCTTGGCGTGTCTTCCTTTTCTTCTGTTCTTGCTGCTTGCAGATCTTTCTGCCGGAGGATGGCACTAAACCTACACAAACCTTCGGAAAATTAGTATTTGAGGGACCCTCGGCTTATCTCTCCCCATTTTTTCAAACATGAAATCAATAATTTGAGGGACCCCGGACTGCGACCTTTCACATTCTTATATAGCACTCGGCTGTATGATATGGAAAACCTTGAACGATGATTTAGTTATATGTTACCATATGTGCAGACAAAAGGCCCAGCTCCTGACTGCGAAACGGAGACATCATGAGACAGACATCAAAACACGTTGAAGAAACATCTTGAAAAGACATGAAAAGACTATCATTGGCATTCATGCAGATAATTGCAGATACCATCCCATACCAACCTGTTTAGCAGCGGCTTCATGCGGCTTCAAGCGGCTTCTGTATGCAATTGTCACTTTCTGATTTATGGCATCTCTGATGCCTGTGGCTGCCTCCCGGCCTGGAGTGCTGGACACCGACGGAAGAGTAGAGCCCAAATGGAAGAAGCGAAGTGTCAAATCAACCTCAGCTAATCTCAGCTAATCTCACTATTTCTTCGCTTGGCATTATGCATTCCTATATACATCTATCAATCACCTGTGGACTTTTCCTGCTTGAAGAAAATGTTGTCACATGCAATTGACCAGCTTGCTGCAGCTTGACACATTAAGTGTTTCCTAGTGATTAAACATGGGCTTCTGGGCCAACTTTCCTCTTCATACTTCTGCGATGCAAGCAGCTGCATCCTTGTTGGCCGCCCTGATGTAGGATATGTGAGGTGGGCACTTTGGCTCCAGTGAATCCTCATCAACCAAAAGTCGTGCAAGAGGTGACGAAGGGATCACGTATGCTGAGATGGGACACCAACGAAAGTTCACCAAAACAGGCAGCGCATCCCGCCAACCCCGAGCAAAAACAGTCTTTGTATGTCTTTGTGACAGAGATGACCACTACAGCAACCCGTCCTGTGACGGGCTTGTGACTTCTGGTAATGCCTCCGGACAGCATAGGGTCTGGAAAAATATTAACCTAACCAGCTTGGACAGCATCGGCCACGTTTTATGTTTACAAAGTGCCTGGCCACCTTCCAGCTACTGAACCTGAAAAAGTGCGAGATGAGAATGCAATTTTCAAGAAGGGCTACGGCTACTTGCGATAAAACATGCTCAATGCCGCAAGAAAATAAGTGGGCAAACCTTGATGATGTTCATGGACCATGGTCTAGGAGGATCATGGAGGATCTATTTCCTTTTCTGCTTTTCTATCAGGTCACCCTGTCCTAAACTATTTATAGTTGGTTCGTTGAGTGATTTTTAGCTTTCCTGCATCCTGTAGCCTCGATTTTCATACTGCTCATAACTCATACCTCTATCCCTCGAGCCGGCCCCTTCTGCCTCTGCAGTGCTCGAATGTTGGCCGTGGCTTGATGCCTCTCAGATGCCAATGGAAAAAATGTTGATAACTTTCTACACTTTGACATTAATTACTCTAGGAAGAAAAAGGATAGTAAGTACATCCCGCATGTCAAGCAAGAGGTTGGCACCAAACCCTGCAGACGTGACAGTAACAACTTCAAAATGGTCAAGGGATGAGAATTGCGGAATCCCCGTGAAACTTCGTAGCAGCAGCTGGCAGAATAATTAGAATGGATACCTATATATATATATATTATAGTTGTATAAATTTATATAATACAGAAAATATACATAATGAATATAGTATATCAACTACAGTACACGGTGGGCCTGAGGCAATTCATCTGCTGCAACGAGCATCTCTTCCCGCAACAGGTTGTCGACATGGATCTCATCGTCCAAGTGCACAAAACTCACCTCATCCAAGGACCAAGCTGAAACGTGTCAACTGCAACCCCTGCGCTCCATGTCACCAGAAGCTTTCAATGCAGAAAGGACGTGTTGGCATTCAAAGACATTGCTGCCAAAATGCTTTTACATGCTTTTACGTCCACAAATAACTTTGTTTGGGTCCCCTGAAGTGATGACTTCTTCTCAGGACTTCTAAGGACAAGAACAAGCACACAGAGAAATGCTCCAGCCAACAGCCAAGGGTGCTTGGTCCAGCCATGCTTGAGATCCCTGAAAAATCTTGAAAAGTTATATTTGGATGAGTAGTCAAGCTGGCAGGATGGTGGTCAAAAGACTCTTAAAGAGCGCTTAAGACATTGCATTCCGGCATGTGCTAGATCCAAGTGGACAAATGCCATGGGCAGTATTTATATAGCTAGTAGATCCCAAGAATGCCATACAGCCATGAATTTGCCGATGATGTCGATACAATGAAGTCCCCCATGTTTTGAACTGACCCAGAAGACTAAACTGCTTGTAATGAAAGCCCGCAATGTAATTACAAGCATATCTATCGGCTGCTGCAAGCATGTATACAATGTAATTAGCTGCGAGAAGGATGAGAAGGATAATATATCGAAACATGAACGGACGCGTGGAATGGAGATGCTCGCCCTGAAAAACGAAGTAACAAAATCATCCTCAGGCGTGACACGAGTCCTGTCCCCATAAACTTGAAACACGGTGATATTCGGTGAGATAGGCCAATTTATTCTAATTAATATTAATTAATTGACCATTTGGCCAATTGATCTTCAACCTTCAAACCTTGTCCTCAAATATATGAACCATTATGAACCAATGGTCGAGGCGCAGCCATTCCAGTGCGAGCTGGCACTCGACCCAATGGGCGCTCTGAAGAGTCCAACAGACCGTAGGCAAACTCGATCTCGTAGCTGGAGCCCTTCAAACATGTCGAGGCTGAGCAAAAGGACAAGATTGGCGAAAGGGGAACATGCAATGCATCTAGCATTGAGATTGAAACCTGCCTCCACAAGATGACAAAGAAGTTCCTCTAAATATATTTTAGATGATTTTGGATGTATATTGGGTTTATATTGGTATATATATATATTATATATGTATGTATGATTATGTATGTATATAGTGACGGTATTTGAGTATATTGCAGCTCTTTCCATCAGGATCAGCTATTCCAATACATTCTAATACATTCAAACAGAAAATATCACATGCAAGCTGCCAACCCTTCACTTGCATATCTTGCATCATATTGAGATCATCTTCTGTACTAAAAAGATTTAATCAGATATGGCAGTGTGTCAAAACCTTGTACCCCTTTTTTGTTCACATCAAAATAGCTGGGATTTATGGATGTTCATCCCCCTAAAAATGGTATTTTCATAGGTATTGATCCATAGCCATATCATGAGAATCCCGGCAGCACAGCTCCTCGCGAGCTGGCAGCGGCAAAAGCGCCAAATCTGCTGGGCCAATGGCAACTCCCGGCATCGCCTTCCAGGCCGAGATCTGCCACAGAATTCTGATCTGCTCAACGAGCACCTGCTTGGAAGAGCACTTTTTATATACTGTACGTTATATTACTTTATATGCATTAACATGCATTAGCTAGGCTATATTTATACATTTGTCTGTTAACATATTCATTGTTATTCTAGTTTGATCGGAATTCTGTACGCGCATTCCAGCCCCAGGCTCACCAGTCCATTTTCAGCAAATTTCCAACAGAACCTCAAACGCGTTCCTTGACGTCTGACACGTGCATAAAAACAAACCAAAGCATTTGTGCTGCGTGGCGCGGCCTGCCAGGTATTCCCAGACACGGCGCCAAAACCACGGACAAGCGCTTGCGAGACCAAACGGACCATGGGATGTGCCTCCTGCAACAGCTTGAGCAAACCGGAGAATCAAATTGCTGGCAGCGGCTACATCCGTTGCATCTAGGGGTTGGGGACTTCGTGTCAAAACTATAAACGTTGATTAATTAGTAATATCATCAGATATATCAAATATATCAGTATATTATAAATTATATCATGGTAATTCATGGTATATCTGTAAATCAAATCAGAACTTGTGAGCTGCCGATGTGCTCTTGTCATACTATGCTATGTCATATAGCTCACAATGACACTGAATTTTTGCATATTTCTCCTGAACCTTCTCATACGCTCGAAGGGCAATGTTTCGCCCTGAAGCGGGGTATCCCCGTCGTTGGGGCATGGAACTCGCATCTGCAACAATACTTCAAATCACTTCAAATCAATAAAGAAGTCAAGGCTGGCTAAGGTTGCAGCCACGATCGAGGATTCTGACCTGAAAATGCAATCAACGACTGTGGTCTTACTCCAGGTGCTGGTCATCAGGTTCTCTACATTCCCAAATATGGGCCGTTACGGGTAAGTGCTTCTAGCGCTTCCGGGGTCCCCAAGCGAGCTTCCTGGCATCCCCTGTTGATTAAACACATGACATTACAATACTACGCACGGTCCCTGAAGCCTGTTGACAAATCGGCACCCTCTTGGTGCGTTCAGTCACTACTATTCGTGCTGATGGCACTTGAAGATCATGAATGAACACTGAAATGTTGGAATGCATTCAATCATTGAATCAAGTGAGGCTTACCGCATGGAAATCAAAGTGCTCCAACCTGGGCTCTTTCTACTACTCCTTGGGGATTCGCAGTGCTGTTCGGCAGCCATAAAATGGAACATGACAAACCAAACAAAAACATGGCTGACGTGCGGCAGGGGAGCACTCTTCTTACAGGAAAAAAACGGCTTTATTCGTCTATTTGCACTCTTTCTCCTGATCTGGCTCATTCTATGAAATGTAATGAATCTTGGGCGCCATCCTACCCAAACAAATAGAGAAATATAGAGAAATCATACAATTTCAATCTGTAATTAGATTGGTAAGGCTTTGCAGAAGCCACCTACGTACGAAACATGGTGATGGGATTCTATCGGCCCGATTGCACGAAAAATTCTCAGGCCGGGCACCCCAATTGAATTGATTGCTACATGATGATTCCAGTGGCAAAGGACAGAAACTCCTTCCGCTCCCTCTCCCAGTAGCGCCAAGTGATCTAAGTGGCTGTGATGATGCGAGAAGCTGCATTATGGACCTTGGCCCAGCTCACATCAATGTCCAACTTTGCAGTGGCGACATCGCCACATACTTCTTGCTGTACACGGGTGCTGCCTAAAACATTCTAAAACATTCTAAAACTATCACCAAAAAAGGCTTCTTGATGTTGTCAGCCACAAAGTGAAGGAGGGAGACATGTATCAACTATCAATATCAACTATCATCAACTACCAAACTCCTCAAATCGTTGTTTGATCTTGACTTTCCATGATCAAAAGCAAGTCATGCATGTGTCTCATTCCCACAAGGTCACAAAGGCATACAAAGGCTACATAGCAGTGCACGCATTGTCATCATGTTGCGGCACAAGGCTGAATATAGACTGAATCATCAAAAGCCACCATGACGGTGCAAAGCGGATCAAAAAGGGATGGAATAGGTGAATAGGGATGGATTCTATTGGATTCTTCATGATTCTTCCACATTTCATGATTGATTCGCCAAGGTGCCAGCAGTGTGGCAGTCTCTTGCTCCGCTTGCTCCGCTTGCTCCGCCTCGATCTCAGTGCCTTGGTCGCCTTGGTCGCCTTGGTCGCCCTGGTCAAGGTGCACAGCAGGGCTCGCTGCCCAGCTCTTCATCAGTCGTTCAGCGCTGTGCCGTGCTCGTTGCCGAAAGCGGCTGAAGGGATTCAGCTGCTGCAGATCCGGCAGAGGATGTTCTACCACCAAGTGCTTGCCAGCCGAATCACCCTCAAGCCACAAAGCACCAATGGAAGCAACTCCGACCTCCACACTTCCGGGCACTGGCATTACCAGGGTAAGGATTAAGCCAAGTGCTGTTTGCGACAATTTGTCAGTGACACTCACCTCAGGAAAGCTGTGAGCGCCTGCGACCGCAGAGGAACCTGCTGAACCGACAGCGGTTTGCGCCGAGACGGCCAATAGTTCCAGAGCACGTTGCAATTTTCGAAGCTGGTGATCACATGAAACTCTCAGATTCTTCAGGGCAAACAAGTCTCGCATGGTGTGCTCCCGCAAGTGTGACAAGAAGTTGGAATCAAAGTTGGAGACGGCTACATTGGAAGCCGCCAAAGCATCTGTCTTCAGAGCCGATCGCAGCAAATGCTCAGAGTGTCCAGAGCTGGGCAAGTTGCGAGTGACTGCTATGAGCTGTGCAGCTGTCATTGTCGCCTGCTTGATCAGCGCGACAAACCTTGCAACCGATGTCAAAATGCATTGAAGAGTTTCAGAAGCATAAATTAAATAAAATCGAACATAGGATTATTGTGCAAAAAACTGAATCTCCGGATCCTCATGAACCTCATAATATTAATAATATTTAATAATTAATGTACATTAATGTACTCACTAGACTCAAATGGCTATGGTCCAACCTAATTAAGTGTCGTTGTACTGTACCTTTGTAGAGGGTGGCAATGATGCGCTACTGAAGGGACTCGACTAAGTCTAAGTATATGCCAAGCATAATAATAGACCACAATTAGTGCACCGCTATTGAAGCGACTTGACTGAGCATATGCCGAGCATCATCATGGACTACATAACATACATCATATTACAAATGCTTGGAAGTATTGGCTAATTTTCCATGCGTGAGTTGTAGCACAAGGAGCAGAGTAATTGAGCACAAAAGGCATCAAAAGGGGACATCCGTTTCAACTACAGATGTAAAACGTCCGACCTCTGACGTCATCTGACCAAGAGACTGGCCCTCAAATCTGGTGGCCCATGCTTCACGCTTCTTTGCCCAAAGCCGTACCACACGGGCTGGCTGGGATTCGGAAGCCTCCTGCGCCAGGTCATCATCAAAACAAATGGAGCAGCTTTCCATACATTGAGAGTAATGTCAGGCCTCAAACTGGAGAAATCGAACAAACATTTGGTCAGTTGTGGGGCCTATAAGTACCTAAAATTGCTCCATACCTTCGGGAAATTCAATAGACTTCAAGCAAAGATGCGCGCATGAATTGTTATTGAGTTGGCATCTGCTGCGGCGGCTGCCCTTCACCAGTGCGCGGTCTACTTGGGGGCCGTTCACTTCACAAAGTCCACACATTGTTATTGAGTCGCTTTTGTTTTCTGGCAGACTGAGCATGTTCACATCCAGATATTGCGTTTGTGGCACTTGTCCCTACATTCTGAAAGTAAAAGAGAACGAGAGAGAGAGAGAGAGAGAAAAAAAAAAGAGAGAGTGAGTGAGTGAGAGAGAGAGAGAGAATCGAACTTTCGCCGTCGTTTTGTTTCTGCTTGTAGTGGCACCTCTCCTGATTTTCCGCACAGTTGCACAGCTTGGTCCACAGTTTCTCCAGTTGACATCGCATGTCTTCCAGCCACAGGCAGCCCTCAAGCATGATTCTCACATCCTTGCTTGCCAGGAGCTACTAAGCCACTAAGCGGATACATCAAGGCAATCTATGGCAATCTTGAAAATCTTAACAGGACACCCGACGACTTCAAAGAACACCTTGTTATCAAGGTGGCAACCAGGACCTGTTTCCTTTGAACGGCAGAATGAACTAGCTCACGAGGCAGAAAAAAACTGCCAAAAATGGAGACAAGAGTCTGTGAGGAAGCCTGTGACTAAGGATCCTTCAGCCCAAAAGTCTTCCCACATTGTCACATGCGTAGCTGAAGCTTTCTTTGAAACCGCCTCCTTCTCCACAATTGTTTCCTTGTGTTTCCTGAAAGAGATCTCGAAATCAAGTCAAACTCATGTGAGCCCTTATTCACCAGGAATCCCAAAACTACCCGTGTTAGTAATAACACAGTAGTGCAAACGTGTCAAAGTGCTCTAAGTTAACCAACAAACATCCACACACTGGACAGTGCAAGCCCCGTCGGCATTCTAAGACAAGTGAACTAGTCCGTCAATGAAATAGGATCCTTTGGAACCCCTCCGGTCTGTGCATACCTCGATGGAACCATCTTTGACCGTCAAGCGTCAGCCTTTGGGCACAGTCTTGCAGCCAGCTTTGCTCCTCACTCTTCACGGTCTTGAGGGGTCCTCAAAACAAGGAGCGCTTAAGGAGAGAAGCTGAAAATGGTAACCTGAAACACCAACGTCATAATATGAGGCCATATGATATTTGATGATATTTGCCTCTTCCAATCCAAGGGATGGAGCCTAATGGTGTGCGAAAAAAAGAGCTCCAAATTGCTTGAAAGGGAGAAGTTCCACCACTCATCAGCTGTACCTGCACTACGGCTTCTCGAATTTTCGTGAATTTTCCATATAGTTTTCCCGTGTTTTCCCCAGCAGAAATTTGCTCCGGATTCGGCCCAGTGTCCAATGGTCTCGATGGTCTCCATGGCGGTCAGCAGTACCTTTTCTCTGTGCTCCAGCTCTTGAATTTGCCGAGATCTTCGGCCTTGGGACCTGGCAATGGAGAGGAAGGACGCCATTTCCTGCTGCAAATCACCTTGGTAACCCGTGTGGCAACCCGTCCCCCCCGTGAACCGAAGTCCAAACCCAGAATGTGTAGGACATCAAGCTTGAAACTGGGATCGTTGAGAGGGAATGCTACAATGTGCTACATTATGCGTTAGTGCATCATAAATGCATATAAAAATGCTGATTCATGCAGACTCCTTGCAGCATTTGCAGCCCAGTGGCTTAACAGCTCCGCTTCGCTTGACAAAAACAGCTTCAAGCAGCACAATGTCTCTGCAACAACGGACGTGGCATCAGGTGCACGTTGCACTTGTCTTATCTTTGGTGCCCATGTCAGCTGTTCGTGCTTGGCTTCTTGAAACGTCACAGAGCTGGCCTTGCTCCACCCTGCTGAGTTGCCCGCCATCACCACAGCGTTGGCTTTTAGAGCAGCGCCTTGCTTCACCAGCCTCGGGAAATGAGCCCGCCAGTTGCCATGCTTTGCGTGCCTGGCCACCGTCTGGTATCTTGCGCGCTTACCATCACTTGGCTGGCACAGGTCGCACTCAAAGTCGACCGTGCAAATAAGAGCTCGGCAGGGATTCTCCTCGAGGAAAATGTCGACAACCCAATCACAAGCATCGCGAGAAGACTGCACCTGCATCACTGTACATTTGCTGATGACGGGTGGGCCACAGGTGCTGGCTTTTAAGGGCTCAGACCAGTCAGACCAGCCTGCTATATTGCCAGTGCGGAGCCTCAGCATGTGCTCCACACCTGGTTTAAGGCAGCCAAATGCTGCTTCCCAGACGATGAATGACGTGGAAGTCAAAGAAGTCTCACTACTTGGAACACTGTGGGCATCATCCGGCGAGGAGGGTTGGCGCAAGATCACAAAATCCTTGGCTGCTGACCACGTGGAAAAAAGCGATGACTCACGGACTTGAGCTTCCCAGAGATTGATAGGACCTCCTGAAGGATCTAGCTGATCCCAGAAGACGCGGATTTCGAAAGGCCCACGTTGTGCTTCCAAGAGCCGTGGGGTAGCAGGACGGTAGACCGTGTGAGATTCAAAGGGTTCAGACTTTTCACAGCTCCAACCCACTTCATTGGCAACTGCAATCCGCCATGTGTACGAGGAATTGGGTTCCAATCCACGTATGACAAGTCTGAATGATTCGTATGACAACTCCGCATTCCAGAAAGGGCCCAGGTCCTGCAGGTCTGCATCCTCGGTTTGTCCATCAACTTCAGTGCCCAACTCTTCGATCTCCAAACGATTGGGACGGATCTCTGCCCAAAGTAACATGCCGGATTCTTCCACCTGGACTTTATTGATGTGCTCCTCTTGCCCAAAGTTTGACGCAACTTTGAATTCGATCTTCACAAAGTCAGTACCTTAGTCCGTGCTTGAGATGAGCAAATGACTCTTGCAATGTGTTATAGATATTCCTGTCATGATTTGTTCTACCAACCGCCATGCCAAAATGATCCAAAATGCATATATACTGTATATATATATGTGTATTAAATAAGTAAAACATGATAAAACATGTAATGTAATCAAAATAATTTGTCCTCGTTCGGAATGGACCCTGGCCCTGGACACCCCCAAAAAGGATACCTCTTCTACAATTGACTGGTATTGACTGCTAGTCTCATAATGTTTTGTCAATTTTTGTCATGTTTTGTGAAGATTTGTTCGTCTTTGGCAGGATCTTCGTGATTCTTCATGCAGGGCACCCAAGTCAACACAAGACAACTGCCGAGGTCTGTGAGGACGCTCTGCCGTGCGGCAGCTGATCTGAACTGGTTCGATGGACCAACCCACCTCATTGGAGGCCTTCACCCGTACCTGGGGTGGCAGCTGGTGGCAGCTGGTGGCAAAGGCAAAGGCAACCATTTAAGGCAACACATGCAGATCACGCTCCCTGCTATCAATTTGGCCCGACGCTTTCTTCATCTTTTCACTTTTAATCACTTTTATACGCGTGATAGCCCTAAACCTGAAACCATCTTAAACCCTAAAAAAAATACGTGAAATCTGCTCGGCTGAGGGCAGAACGTGATAGTCGGCTTCCCTCTCCAGATCTATGGCCTTCGATTGCCAGAGTCCTTCGAGTCCTTCGCCCAAGCGTTGAATTTGCATCTGTGGAACTTGAAGCCAGGAATGGATGAAGTTCGCTTTGCTCACCTGCACATCTGCGACATATACACCGTTTAAACATGGTAAACATGGGTTTATTCTCCCACAATCATCAGCAGAAGACCATCTCTTCAAATAATTTGAAATACAAGTTGGGATTTGAGTTTATGATGTTTATGGGTGGTTTTTGTCTGAAAGCATACCCTGCCCATGCACAGTCTTGGCTCTTCTCCGATGATTTTCAATCAAGGCCTCCACACAGCAATCCTTCACAGGTGCTCCATCTGGATCGCTGGTGCGCCATTGCAAGTCCAACCAGGTAGCTCCGCGCATGGTGCAACGCAAATCTTGCACTTTACCAGGCCTTGCATTTAGACATCACATTGACACGGACAATGGCAAACATGCATCCCTGACATTCACCCGGCTACCTTCTCAAAAAAAGAAAAACTACAGCAATCCAAATCTGTCCAAAAAAATCCAACATGATGAAGGGATGGGCCTAGTAGACATGTAGAATGATGCAATCCTGCCAGCCACAAGAACCCCCTTGAAGACACCGGCCTACACAAACAACCGTGTTCTTCAGTCATGTCACCCAACTATCACCTACTAGTAACACCATGTAACACCCAAACTGATTGAGGATAACCATGGACTCTTGGAATCTCTTGGACACAATGGACACAATGGACCATCGTGGATCATGGACCATCGTGGATCATATTGTTTGAGTCCACCAGTCCAGTGCCTCTCTGATGACCTGCATGGCAACGCTTCCGAGGGCTTGGAGCGGCCGGCTTGGTTCACTGCGAAGAGACGGAGCCAAATCGTCTGTTCCGGCTTTAGGCTTCCAACCTCCAAATAGATCCAAATAGATCCAAATAGAGGCAAATTCTGCAAAGTTGTTTGTTTAAAAGACTTTAAGAAGAAAAAAGTTAATGGAGGAGTATGGAGATGTGTGGCGAGATTATCAGATGCAGTGCCAAAGCATGACTGACACGCTTCATATGATGCGTGTCAGGAAAAATATGGAACGATGATGAATAATGAACATGCACTGTGCCGCCAAACTCAGCCAGAAGACTGTGATGGAACCGCTGCGGCCACCAGGTTTCAATGGCACTTCACTTCCATCAGCATCCTGCAAATGCGCATTCAAGATAAAGCTGGAAAGGTGCTATCAGCAACCATGGAAACATCTCACCAGTGAAACTGTGTCCTCACCAACTACATGGACAGTCAATTGTACAACTAGTTCTGCTAGGTGAAGATCCTGGGGGCCAATTATAATTCTCCAATTCACTCAGCCATGGTGGATGCGACTATTTCGACTAAATCTGGTCTTAACATGCACCTCAAAGTACTCCGGCGTTTGCCACCACCACGTTGCAATGTCAAACATGCTGCTAATGCCATCGCCAGTTTCCCCGGGCAAGACCCCAGTATTCGAACCATCTGGTTTCAGGCAAAACTCCGGCTCTATATGTGAGACTGGGCAACCTTCTTCATCTGCAAACTCGAACTCTACTTCAACTTTTCCGGGACAACGAGCCACCAATTTGAGCTGCGTGGGTGGCCCAGGTGCTTCAGATGTCAGACACAGCTGCGGGTCTGAAAAGTCGGACCAGCCGATACTATTGCATGCTCTCACTTTAAAGCGATATGCTGTGGCAATCTTCAGCTTGGAAATGATCCCCTGCCAAGTCTCTTCCCTATACTCAGAGTACTCACTGGAAGCGACTCGTCTCGAATCCAGCAGCTTGATGTCAACGTTTGACACGTCCTGCCACATGCTCAAGAAGTCCGCCGTACAAAATTGAAGCTGACACTCCAAAACCGGAGCTTGGCTGGGTGTCTTAATAGACCAGTGGAGCTCCAAACCATCTGTCAATCGCCTCATGCAGCGTGGAGCTTCACAAGCAGCTTTGCCCAAGGTCTCGCACTCACATGAGAGAAGGGCTGCGCCGGCTGCGCTCGCTGCGCTTGCTTTGCCAAGTGTTTTGTCTTCGCTCTCACTCTGGTCCACAGCTGGTAGGATACGGAAGCTGTAGCGTGTCTCCTTAGGCTATCTCAAGAAGAAGCAGGGATAATGATCAGATGTGATGGCCGGAGAATTGTTGAGGCTCTATGATCTCTGTGTCGGCGCTGTCATGTTATGTTATGCCGTATCTGTTCATACCTTCCCTCAAAGTCAAGGTGCAGGCTTCAAACACCAAACGGTGAGATGAAAAGTGCCATTGCCAATGCTTTGGGTACGGCAATCTGTGCCTTCGACCAAATCCGTCCAGCTGTCGTTCTGAAACCAGCTGCCACGCGCTAGGCTTTGTACCTGAGCTTGGTGGATATGGTGACGGGTCTTCAGATGTCTTCTGCCTTTAGCGGATGGCACATTGGATCACATTGGCACTTGCAGAGGACAGGCAGAACATGGCAAGGTGAAATCAATACGGTGCAAGATGACTGTTTTGATATGTTTTAATGCAATATTAATATATTACTATATATTAGTATATATTATATTATATTATAATTTTATATAATATATTATGTTAATGGCTGTCTGCCGACCCAGCCGACACATCCACCAGACCGTCCCTCGGCAGAATCAAGGTGCACACCATGGAGGTGTAAGTGACCCTGCCACTTCTAGCTTCACCTGAGACACGCTGCTGCCATGGCTGCGACCCCTCCGTTTCTGTGTCGGGTGTCATGTCATGAGCAACAATAGTAACATCGTTGCCTAAGCCATGGCTGCAATATGGTGCAATTGTCAGTCATGTCATTGAACGTTGCTGCTTTTGTCGACATCAATGCCAGTCCCATATGCATTCGAGTCGCAGATTCCAATCCTCTTTGGATGCACCGCATAGGCTGCATGGTGCATCGTTGGCGTCTGTGAAGTGATAGTAGTCGTAGCCATGCGGAGCAGGGAAAGGACTACTACCAAAAGACCATTCGTGCATGTTAAACTAGATTAGCAAGCGATTCACAATCTTCAAGTTTCGCACAATACTTGCATAAGAAACACTGCAGTTTGTGATGTGTGTGTGTGTCTGTGGTGTGTGATGATGTGTGTTTGATATTGGGTGTGTGCTTGCTTATCGTGTGCTTCAAGATGCGAAGGTCCATTCTGGGCTGCTTCAGCACTGTTCAGCTCAAATATTGAGAAGCTGGGATCCCAGTGGACGCACAGATTTTTTTACAAGTGAAGCTACGCTGTAGATGGGCCAAGTCGTAGCTAAGTGCATTTTTTTTAGTGCATTGTTTTTTTTTTAATGTGCGGCTGTTGGCTGCAGGCATCTGTACGCACGATACTCATGAGAACCAATGAATGCGTTCACACCAACAGCTCGATTGGAGCCAGCGTGTGGCTGCAAAACAGGTTGGGGCAAACTGCCTATGGTTGTTGTTGTTGCTTGTGTTCAGGCAAGCACAATGTTTTGCTTTAGGGGAACAGGTGTGCACAGTCTTCCACCGTTTCCAAGAAACAAACAGTTGGCAAGCAAGGGCTTGGCCGCCCTCAAGTCATGTTGGTCGCTATCAACAATCATGAAACAAGAACCTCACTCGACAATCGACTCATACGGACTCATGCACCAATATAATAATATAATTATCCAATAATTACTTTACAATACTTGGGATGTACTTGAGTGGTTCCTTTTGCGTGAAACCAATGTTGCGGTTTTGCCATGAGATCTTTACGATCTCTCCCGCCCGCGACGCCTTGACTTCGATCAAAGATCACTCCAGGGCTTCCTGGACAGCAACCTGTAAAAATATGTAAAAATTAAAATACATGTCAACATATGTCAACATAACACATATAACAGCAGTGTGAGAGGATGAGGATGTCAGAGCTTGGCATGTCTTGGGATCTTGGAGAGAAGTTGCGAAACTTCGGCAGTTGCGCCACTCTGGGCAGAAGCATATCACATGAGGGACATAACGCAACTCTGGGTGTCTAAGAATCCACTAAAAACAAAATCTGGAGCACGATGATAGCAAAATGGTTTGCTCACTTAGTGTGTAGATCTGGTTCACCCTGGCACCATATCGAAGGAGCCTTCGTCGGCTTTGCCTGATGAACTGGCAGACCTCGAGAGACAGTTGGAATTTGGGCTCAGGATCAGTCTCTCAAAGCTCAAGGGCAGGAACTGCCTAAGGGTTGAGTCTCCCTGGCAATTTCTTGTGTTTCTTGGGAGATCTTGGAAGTCAATGGAAGTCTGTGGCAAATTCTTTCTCCCGCAATCTCCCGAAACAGCTGAAGTGCACAGCCCATTGCCTCTCAGCTGAAGCAGCTGCCTGGCTCGCGGGAAGAATGGAATGAGCTGTAGCGTGTGAATGTGTGTAGTATTGAACAGTATTGAACTTGAATGTTGTTTGATGATGTTTTGCTGTTGTTTGCGAAGCCAGTTTGGAAGTGAAATGTGAGACTCATCGTCATGGACGTCATGAATTCGATGCTTCTCAAAACACTCTTGCGCCTCAGCTGCATCTTGCTCTCGCAGCCAAGCCTCATCCTCCTCAGTCACTTGCCACAGAATCTCCCATCATCTCCCATGAGGCTAAACATGGGCAAAGGATTGCAGGGATGGTATGATGGCTAAGGCCAGAATTGAATGCTTCAACATGCCGAGATTGAAGTGCCCTGACGTTTTGACTCGTGATGGCTGCCCTTTGATATCTGGAATCTGGACCCAGTCCCGCTTTCAGGGCTGAGACAAGTCTCCTCAAAGCATGGAATGAATCGATCCGGGTATCTACAGGTATCCTACACCTCACGCTCGCAAGGTACAGAAATCTACTTGACTGATATATGTTGATACTTGGGAGTAAGGTAGGGATGGTACCAAGAGGGTTTGGTTGCCTCATAAATCTTCTACGTGACGATCGACAACCAGTCACATGTTTTATCGATTGCACATACCAACTCTACAGTTTAAGCAGTTTATTCGTCCTCTGGCTACCTCTGGGTTTGTCGGTAGCACCCTCCAGCAATCTGAGCTGCTACCGTACCAAGTGCGAAGCGTTGGATATGATGCCTGAAGGAGTGAAGGTCCGATGCTCTCCCAATGTACGTGACAGAGGAATCCATCAAGCGTAGCAGCGAGTTTTGCTGGTGGAAAGTAGGTAGTGGAATTCCAGTAGTGCCTGCGAGTTGAACAAGTTGCAGCAAAGTTCGCGTGGGACGGTGAGGAAAAACTTGCGCGGAGCGCAAGCATCAGAACCGCCAGATCGCATTGAAACATAAACGGATGAAACGGAAGCGAAGCCGTTGAGAGTTCTGCGAGCAGTGTAATGTTGGGGCAAAGGCCCCATAGATTTGCAACTCATGCTCAAATATCTTGAGCGACATCTATGACGTTGTGTGACACTGTATGACCTATCTCTTAGTGACTGTCATGAATTTGCTGCTAAAATAAAATGTATCGAGATTATCTGCAGAACTCACCTGTTGCGCAGGTGTGATATGGGTGTCCAAAACTGGGGTGTATACCGCATACCCCAAATCCAGTGGCAAATCAGTAACCATCCATTCTTGAACATCAAAATATTGTGTATATATATATTGGAATCTGTTACTGTTATATATCTGTTATATATTGTTATATAGCATTTACCAAATATTATCAACGATCCTAGAACGGCCACAGATGGGGCATGTCCCATTTTCAGACACAGCCAGTGCTAAGGCTGCTAAGTTGAGCTGAGAAAAACAATGCCCGCCAGCGACAAGATCGACAAGGCATGCGCCCTGCAATACCCTGCATCCAGCAGTTTAAAGGGAAACTGCTCTTGACGTTTTGTCAAGAACGATACTTGAAAGAAGTCAGCCACCTATCTTGCCTGTGCTTTTGGAAGGATGTCAGAGTTGTAGAAAGGATATCAAATCGGCACAAATTGGCTATTGATTCAATGAGCGATTAGATGCATACAGCATGTCTACAGTCTGTACTTGGCCGGTTCAGTCAACTTCTTCAAGGCAGAGCAGAAGAGCTAGTTACTAGCTAGTTGGCTCAGCCCAAACCGAAAAAAATGCAGGGAATGAGCACCCAAAAACACAAGCAAAGCGGTGAATTTAGAAATTGTTGCTGCAGTGCCACAAATTGGCAGAGCTGGCGTAGGCTCTTGGGGTTGCCAGCGACGTCAGTCTGAAGTGGTCTTTTGCAACCTGGAGCGTCTTTCCTCAGAATGGAAGCTGGACCTTTAAGTCCAACGGAAGAAAAACACACACCTGGGAGAGGTGGAACAATCGCTTCTGTGAGGGTAATAATTCGGGCAATAGTAAATTATCTGTACCCCGTAACTGATGACAAACACTGGCTCCTCATGCTTCCTTTCCGAATCCTATCGTCCAAGGTTGGTACTGAGCAGTGCATGGAATTTGGAGCAGCGCATTGTTGAGCCCAACGTGCTTCTTGACACGTTGTCTGCTCCAAAGCCATCGCACACTTCAAAGGGCAAGCGATGCCAGTTGCCTAACATCTGCCATTTCAAAATCTAATGCCCTGGTTGCGACGACATGTTTGCCATGACATCAGCAAGCAGGGGTCTCGTGAAAGACCTCAACGCAGCAGAGGCAGTGCGGCTTCAAGCAATACGTTCAGCTCAGCAAACTCGAGTTCTTGAATGCTACGCCGCCAGTACGCCGCCAAGTTCAAAGAAGAGCAATGTAGCAGAGCCTATAGTATAAATAATATATATATATAAATATATATATAAATATGTATAATATTTTTTCAAAAAACAATTATAACTTCTAACTAACTCCAGCCAGTGCCAGGAAGCAAATGTTGCAAACTAAGGGCCACACATTCGGCGCTTTATGACAGATGCCCGTCGCTCACAAGAAACCAACGACAGCAGGGATTGAGGCCTTGAATCATCAGGAACCACTCCGATCCAAAGAGTACTGTATCACAAGGAATCCAAGCAAACTTCGAGGCATCTTGAAAGTGCTTGGACTCTTTGCATCTCTCAATGAGATCTTAAGAATTCTTAAAGTACAGTATGCCTTTCATTGGCCTTTCATATTCTTTCATACTGTTTTACATCGTGGATTGCGGTCTCTCAGAATAGGTCTCAGGATTCTGAGGTCATGACGCCTTGGCAACCGGCTTCGAGGTGTCAATACTCACATCCTGATGTCACAAATCAATTGAAATCCAATGGAAAGATGATGAAACATGGGGACAAACATGGCAAAAATGGGGAATAAAACAGCAAAGTCTGAATCATTCTGCCGACCAGGCGTTGTGGATGTCAAGCTCCAAAGTGTAGGAAAGGAGAGCGCGAGTCGGCAGCTGTCACCACCCGAAACATAACTCAAGCAGAGTCGCATGGAGGGAATCCCTGGCAGCTTGCCCTGTGCCTGGCCAAATCATCATTGGAATCTATTGAAGGCCGCTGTTTGGAATGGAGGCTACACCTTCGCACTTTCCAACAGTCTTCAACATCGGGGTGAAATCTGAACAATGGATGCAATGAATGTTCCTCATACTGAGGAGAGGCATGTGGGCGATGGATGCGATGGAGGCAATGATCCTACTAGCCCAACCTAAACTTTAAGTTTTCCTGAGCAGTGGCAGCAGCCAATCCGAACTAAAACAAGTCATACTGGGATTGTTGTTTCAAGTACGTAGTGTAGATACAATATGCAATATAGATCTACATCGCACTATGTATGTATGTCTGTCTGTCTGTCTGTCTGTCTGTCTGTCTGTCTCTGTCTGTCTGTCTGTCTGTATCTATCTATCTATCTACCTATCTATCTATCCATCTATCTATCTATCTATCCATCTATCTATCTATCTATCTATCCATCTATGTATCTCTGTCTCTATGTATCTCTGTCTCTATGTATCTATCTATCTATCTATCCATCCATCCATCCATCCATCCATCCATCTATCTATCTAATCCTATCTATCTAATCTAATCTAATCTATCTATCTATCTATCTATCTATGTATCTTTGTATCTATGTAAGAGTATCTATGTATCTATGTATGTGTGTATATATATACATAGAAAGAGAGAGAGAGCCTATACTGATGGCAACGCCGTTTACAAGTAGATCACATTTGACATCATTTGACCAAAGGTGACTAGTTGTGGCCAGCGGTGACCAGCCTGTGAGACAAGGAGCAGAGACAGACTTGGAATTCGACCTTGCAAGGCGAGAGAAGCTGAAAAGTTATGAAAAGTTCACATCGGAAATCAATGGAAATCATCTGTTTTCTTGGCAAACTCGGCAAACTCAGCAAACTCTCACCCCACGGCCTTGACATTCCGCTCACACTCACGTGTGGCTTCATAAACGTAGCAGCGCTTGGAAAGAGCAAATCCTGCAAAGTTAGAAGCATCATTACGCATTCGACGAAACACGGTAACACGGGAGGGTCCCACTCCATTCCATGTCCAAAGCTTTGACCAAGACTGGTTCATGACTCATGACATCCCTTGACTGACCTGACTGACCGAAGTAAGAGAAAGAAATGTCACCAGCACTACAGGCATCCGCAGAATTGTTTTCTCCATGCACTGTCTTTGAATGCCATCCTACGCCATCCAAGTGATAATGGATGGATGGTAATGGATCTATGACGAACAACTGCTGTGTTCTGGTCAAAGTGCCTGCCGCTTTGCCGCTGTTGGCACACACAAAGAAATGCGCAAGCTCGCAGCTGAGGAAAACTGATCACTTCAAACATTGAATCTGTTTTTGGCAAGCAGACAGGAACCACAGAGCTTTCCCACCCTCCTGTCGCCATGTCCTGTGTATCCTTTAAATATTGGCTCTCTAAGAGTGCTGTAGAAGCTTGCGCCAAGCTGAAAGGCCCTTCCTCTTGGCACGCCCTACTTGTGTGAGCCTATTCCCAGGCTCACAAAAGGCTATGGGTCTGCAACGGCCAGGGCAAAACAAAAACCAGCACTTCACGTGTTTCACGCAAAGCGCCCATCATTTTCAGAAGCTTCGACTCGAGACCCTCAGAATTGCTCTAGATGCCGATATGAGTACGTCGTGAGTAGTGTGTGATTTGCTGGTGTAAAGTACAGCACTTTTCTGATTTGAGGTGAGCACAGGCAAGAAATGAAACTGCAGAACTGTGGGTTCATATGGGGTCACGGATGTTGGAAAACGGTTCCTTCCTTGCGTTGAATTTCAGAGCCAAGAAGATCGTGGAAAGTACAGTATCGGGCACAAGCCTAAGTTTATGCAGCCAGATCCGTGTTAATCCCTTGATTCGTGGAGGGTTGTCCCCTGTCCCGGACTCACAGGATTTGCAACTGAACGTCTCGAGCCATGCTTGACTCTGTGCAATGCTGCGGCTGCCGCCCTAATCATCATCATGAAAATGAGACACATCTTGAACCTCAGCTGCAGGATGTGGGATGCTGCCTGCAAGAACCCCCTCTGAACCACGGCTTGACTGTGGCTTGATTCGGCCTGACCCACCCTGCTATTATCCATGTTCCTATGAGATTCCTAAGTGTTCCTGAAATATCACAAAGATTCCCAAAGTATTTGCAGCTGAGGTGCAAAAGCATGCTGCAACAGACTCACCGCTGAATCCCTGCGATGAACAAGGCCCGAAGGCTTGGACAAATTTTGGGAAGGGCGTTGGTGTTGGCATACTAATGGATTTTGCTCTGAAAGTTCCTATATGGTTTCACATTGGAAAAAGACTTTGCAAGTTCTTGTCTGTTGGTACGAGTAGCAGCAGTACAGTATCCCACCGCAGCGGGAAGAGTTCCCAAATTCAACACAAGTCTGCTGAAGGTTGATCTGCTGCAGCTTCGGTGGCTACTTGCCGGTCATCAGTTCAAAGTATGTCAACATATGATGGCATTGTATGAAACCTTCGTAAATGTTCATAAGCTATGAGCTAAAGAGGTATGGGGCCAGCCTTTCATCGGGATCCCTCTGCAAACATCGATGGACAAAGCTTCGGTAGATGTCGGAGAAAGTCTCTGGAACGGGTGGCGTCTCATTGGACATGCCAATCTTGTACCTCAAAGCTCAACAAAGCGGCATTGTTTGCATTGATCAGCATAGCACATTCTGCCATATTCTGCACCTGACACTCCAAAAGCCCACTTCAGACTCTGGAAAGAAGCGAGGTCCCACACCACATCTTTGCAACGAAGCGAATTGTGGTCCAAGGTGCATCGCTGCCATGTGATTGTCAAACTTCCTGGGCCAATTGCCAAAGCAGAAAAGGTGACATGGCAAGCGAACTACAGAAGGTCAGCATGGTCTTTTGGGGGCTTAATCATGCTTAATCTGTGCAAACGTGGTCCAATCTGATATACAGTAGCCGGAGAATCCAATGTTATGGGATGTCATGCGCAAACAATAAGATGCATAGGAACTTCCAGGCCAGAAACTACCATCAAAATGGGATGCTGAGATGCTGACGTATGTTATGCTGATGCAAAAGTGCAGCCTGGATTCCCCCAAGGGTTACTTCTTGCAGTGCCCATCTCCAAAACCACACATCCGAAGCTCCAAACATCTGCCATTCTTCCGTAACCTAGGCAAATCTGGGGTGGAATGAAGGCAAAAGCTCTAAGTTCAGAGAGAAGATTGGCGAAGGCACCATTCTGGCTTAATGCATCTTAGTCGAATCAAGATAACAATGAAGCTCAAAGTCCATGTTGTCTAAATCCAGTAGACCCTTTGTGCTGTGCGCAGCTACAAGGCTCCATTGCAGCATTGCGCCCGGCCCATCCCCTCCTTGACATGGCAAGGGACCCACATTCTTCACTACCTGGCCAGCAAAGCAAGCAAACATTGTTGGGGAAGGAGGAAACATTTCTGCAAAAAACCCTCCAGTTGTGCAACCAGCATTGCACCAAGGTTGTGAAGATTGCAAATCCATTGCAACATACTGCAACGTTGTCAAGGCCTCGGGCGCCATCCAGGGAATCGATCCCTTGAGCGTCGTCGACAAGGTTTCGTCCGTCCTTTCATGGGGAATGGGTGAGAAAGGGTTGGTTTCATGTTTCTTCATGTTCAGAAGCAAGATTTTTGATCCAACCACACATAGGGATTCACCGAAGTGAGGGTTCCAGGGTTTGCGACCGGTTTTCCACTCTCACCACTCAAAAACATGCAAAAAACTTCGGCGGCTGTTGTAGCTGTACAATCTCAACGCGTAAAACAGGTGCATATGATATAGATACATGATATAAGTTTAAAAAAAATCTCGGTGTATCCACAATCAGACACAAGGTAAAAGAATAATAGTAACAACATGTAACAACCATGATAATAGCGTGAATAGTAACCAGAGCAATTCACAAAATTCTAGGAATCATTAACAAATGAAATTTAGTTAGAAAACTTCCGAGTTATGGATGGTGGTCATGATGAAGACATTATGTTAGCATTCACCATGACCATCATCCATAAGTCGGAAGTTTTCTACATCCACACCATCATGTCAACCACGCCATCATGTCAACCCTATCATCATGTCTTCAACCCATCATCATGTCAGCCACATCATCATGTCAACCACATCATCATGTCAACCACGCCATGAAATAGCGTGAATTCACGATTGAAAGCACTCTCGGGTGCGAAACTGCCGGTTCTTTCGGGCAATGTGGCTCCTGGGGTCGCCGAAGTAGGGCATCTGTTTCTGGGGTTGCGGGGCTGGATGTGTGAAAGTTGTCGACAAAGTGCGCACAGGACTGTAGTGAGAGCTCGATTTGCATTTCAAAAGCTCGGAGCACTTTTTGAAGATCAGGTCGGCAATATGCTTAGACGGTAGCGTGCGCTTCAAAATGTTAAAAGACTGCGGCGTTCGGAGCACTTTTGGAAGGTCAGGTGGGAAAAACCGTGCACCAGACCGGGAGCTTGGTTTCATTTTGGTTTGGCAAAAAAAAACGTAAAACCATCGTGTTCGGAGTGGCGGGGAATTGCCCCCATTGTCAGCGCTACACGAAACGTTGGTCGTTTTGGTGCGACGCTATGCGGGTTTGCAAGAACGCGTTGGCACGGCTGCGCAGCAAAGCATTCAGTGATGCCGCGGCCCTCCCTATGCGAGATTGCAGCTGGAGTTTGCTAAGCCAAGCGCATTGTAAAAAGCTGCGCGAAAAGGTAGTTTTTCAGCACAGTGCCACGTTTGCGCGATGCGGAATTGCAGAAGCTCGGGGTTGCAAATCGAACAGTGCTGGCTGCGCGAGGAGAATTGAATTGAATTGGGTTGCAGAAGTTACGGGAGAGGTAGCCGGGAGGCGTTTCAGAGCAGAAGTAAGTAGCCCAGATAAAAGGCTGCTCAGAGAAGAAGCAGCTGAGAGAAGAGGTACCTCAGCAAGGAGGTTGCTTAGTGAAGAAGTAGCGCAAAAAAGAAGTAGCTTACTCACTCATCCACCCACCCACCCACCCATCCATCCATCCACCCATCTATCCATCCAATCATACAAACATTCACCCATCCATCCATCCATCCATCCATCCATTCATCCATCCATCCATCCATCCATCCATTCATGCGTTCATGCAATGTTTCATTGATTCACGGATTCATGGATTCACTGATTCTCTGGTTCATTGAATCTTTGGTTCATTGGTTCATTGACTCGCTGCTTCAGCAGTTCATTGTTTCTTTGCTTCATTGCTTCAATGATTCATTGATCACTACAGAAATTCACTCATTCATTGGTTCACTGAATCATCCATTCATTGGTGCGTCGGTTGACTGATTCATTGATTCGTCGACTCATCATCCATTCATTGGTTCACTGGTTCATTGATTCATCGACTCACCATTTCATTCCTTGATTCACTGAATCATCAATTCATTGATTGATGCACTGATTGATTCATTGACTCATTGTTTCAACGACTCACTAATTAGTTCACTCATTCATTGATTCTTTGGTTCATTCGGTCAGTTGCGCACGGATTCTTTCATGTCAGTTCACTGGCATCTCAATCACCATTTGCTCATTCGTTGATGCACCTCACAATTTCAGCAACTCATCGCTTCTGCATGGCAAAAACGTTCCTATATAGGCCATTGATTTCTCACAGCCATTCCATTTTTTTGGAAAATACACTGCGGTTTATGTTGCTTATGCATGCTTATGCCCTATGCAATGAATTCACCGGAATGTCAGCGTCGCTCTCCCTGACTGAACACCAGCTTTATGGCTCGTCCTCTTGGAACAACCGAAGTCTGCTAGTTTCGCACACAATTCCTTGGCCGCTCCAAAGCCAAGCAAAGCCATGGGGCTGACTCCATGTTACGACCACGATTGCTTGACTGCAGCAATGCAGCCCGGTTTCTGTGCTGTTGGCACTATGTCCCATCAAAACGTTAGCCTCAACATCATCAACTTGACATGTCGACTCAACAGCTTCGAAATAGAACGGAATGACACGTTACCATTTGTTCTGCCCACCCTTTCAGTGCAGCATTATGTTTTAACCTTGCATTCCTTCATGCAATGCTGCTCACGGAACTGCCGTTTTGAGAAGCTTGAATATGAAAAAGTGTCAAAGCCACACACCTGCGAAGCAGCCATTGCTTGGTCTTGCAGAGTTTGGCTTGACGCTCTACATTGAAATCTCTGCCGATGTCTGCCGGGGAGCACTTTTAATATCTCTGTGAAGCACCTCAGGCTGAAGCGAGTGAAGCGGCTCACCTTTCGGCTTTCCTGATTATATACATAGACAAGGAATGGAACAGCGGAACCAAGAGGAAAACAGTGTATGAATAGACGATAAAAAACGGCCAGCTGCTATTCAGCGTCAGTCTGCAGAAGAAAGACAAAGAAAGATAGAGCGGGAAATAGCACGTATGTGTACACATCATGTTTCTCATCGTTTCTCGATGCCCATCCTGAGGGCCAAGGCACAGGTGGCTCCTGCGTATGCAAATAAGCCAAGCCCTCGAGCAGGTCTTTGGTGTATCTGGCCGTAAGGCTTTCCTGCGCATTCACAGAGTTTAGCAGAAGATTAACATTCGCACATCATAATTAGAAAAAAATAGCATAGTTCAATGTGGTTCAATCAGTCCAATCCAATTGGGCATCCGAGTACCTTGAATTCTGAAGAGGGTGTATGTGTGTGTGATTCCCAAGACTACCACGGACCTGTGCTTGGACTAAGGACTTTGCGGTGGTATCATTTACGCACGGGATGTTGTTGCTAAAACAACTGCGAGCAAACGCAAGGGATTTTATGGCCATCTTCCGAGACACCAGCAATCAAATCTAGACTTTCTGTGACTCTCCTCAAATGCACCGAACTGCTGCAAAACACTGGCCATGGAGCCACCAATCATGTACTCCAAGTAGATGTAAAGGCAACTGCCCTTCCAGGGTGTATCCAGCACACGGCTCGTACAATGCGACAAAAAGGTGTGAAACTTGTCAAACAAATGTCTACAGTGGATATTCCCATGAAGTGTGCTATGGTCTCGTTTCTTTGATCATGTCTGCAACCAAGGAAGCGGCTATGTAGTCATGGCCCAGGTAGCTCACAATGCCTCGACTGCATCTGTATGCTCAGGACAGGGGCAAGGCCAGGCTGCACTCAAGAAATTCTCAAAGCCACAAAAATAAAGAACAAATGCTTGGAATCATTAAGACAAAATAAAGCAAAAAGCTTCTGCATGCAAGGATGTGCAAAGATGTATTAACATGTATACAGATGTCCAAAAGCAAACTGAATTGAACATCTAGGCACTGGGATGCTTCAGCTTGGAACAGATCTGGACTTCGTTCTCCAAAGCTTCTTTGAACTTAACATCTGCCGCATCTGATGTGTTGATCAAGACCTGGAAGAGGCCAAAACGACGCTCAAACCCAGGGTGCCCATTGATGAAATGTCATGAAGGCGTTTATGCCCAATATATCGCAATACATAATATCATACAATATCAATATAAGCGGAATGCAAGCTCTTGATACCTCTTCTTTGGTGAAAAAAAAGGTCTGGGTATGTCTGGGTGCTGCCTGTTGTGCATGTTTCCGACCTTTCCGTACCTTTTGGCCGGTCCCTTTCGGTGGAAATCGGTGCGCCTCTTTGACAGCGAAGAGCTGTCCAGTGCTCTGATCCAGCGCTTGGATCACGTTTCCCAAGGAGCCTCGACCTGAGCTATGACGCAAGCATCGTAGAAGCATCGTAGAAGCATAGTAAGCAGCACAATAAGCGATTCAAAAAGGATTCAACAGATTTCCAGGTAGAAGATCTCCATCACTCAGAAAAGTAAACCAATATAAAACAGTAGATAGATCCGCTTCAAGATTGGTCCCTTTCCATCTTTGTGTGCCTAGACACGGGAATACACGGGACATAATGTCCAATGTCTGGAAATGCTTGAACTGATGGCACGAACACTCTCGTCTTGTCCTGCTGTATTTATTGCATTAAGATCATTGAGGATAGTGCCCAGATTCTCTCCACGAACCTCTGCTGCAAGGATGCTCTGCTTGAAGCGTCACGGCTTTTGGATTCAACTTGATGCAAATATATGCAGATCATCTATCTACTGCCATTGCAATATTCCAATAATATCACGATGCTGTCTACAGTATCACCATACATATGCAAAGTTGTCTGACCTTGAAATTCAGGCAAGGTGCCCATTTGACAGTGGTCCCATGGATTGCTGCAGGCGAGCTCATCGTCTCCAAAAGCATGGAGCTTTGTTCCCACGCTGCTGAGAGCATGCCTTAGACGGCTCACAAGACGCCGACGAGCACGATTCGGCCCCAAGGAATTCATAAATCATAAACACATCATAGAAATTCATAGAATGGAAGCACTTCCGAGAAGGCACCTGACGAGTTGCTGGTTCTGCACCAGCTTTCTCACAAGTTCAAATTTGCTGCACTGCAAGAAGTGATAAGAAGTGTATGTTGTTTGCCAAGCTGCTGTCTGACATGCTCAGCTTTTTCACTCCGCTCACACCGCGCGTGCAAGAGAAGCTACCTGCCTGTGAAGGCAGGTGTGCATTGACATCATTCATCTCACAAATTTGACGGAGCGGTTGTCCTATAGTTGTGAAATGAGCACCACGAAGAAAGACTACAGTGTGACTGATCTGAATACTGAATATTATATGTGTATATAATTGTGTATATATATATCACGAGTGGGCTCGTCAGTCTTTGTTGAGCCAAGATCTTTTGAAACATGCACCCCCACTGAGGGTTTGGCTACAGGGTATGGAGGGAGTGTCCTGAGCTGCAGCCGCATGGACATGCACGGAACATCCCTTTGAATCCTTTCAGACTTTAAGATTTCATCACGGCACCTTTTATAAGACAAACAAGGAGCTGTGAAAAAAAACGTGAAGCATGTTCTGGGGAGTACAACCGAGCATCTCTTCATCTGAGGAGTTGTCCATGTCGCCAAAGTTCCTCTGTCCTATGGTGACCTGGATCACTTGAGGGAGACCAGGCACAGTGAAGCGAAACCAAGGTTACCCGGTTACCCCATCCAAGTTTCAGAGGAGCCCGAACCGAGCCCCCAGCGTTCAGAGCAGGATCGTTCACGGCTGGATTGTTCCGGCTCGGGAAGTGATCAAGCGTGTGCTCCTGGTAGTTGATGCGAACAAACTTATCTTGACTGTTTCAAATACCTCGAGTTTTGTTTGAAGAAAAACGAAATGTTTGTCCAACCTTTCCAAAGGTGTCAACATGTGTCAACCAGTTTCATTAAGCTGCCCAGACCTGCTCCAAGACCTCCTCTACCGGCTCCACAGGTGGAGGAGGCGGTACAGCTTCCATGGGGGAACTCACAGCACCAGGCACCTGGAGCAGAGCAGCAGACATAGACTGACAATATTTGACAATTCAAGATATTCAAGTGCTTTCAGTTTGTCAGTCTGCTTTCGTTTGCTTCCCATGGCTTCCCTGCTCCTGAGCACCTTTCCCAATTTTCCCAAACTCTGCATGAGCTTCAATACGCTACAATGCTTTTCTGGGGGGGGAATCAAGGTGTGCAGATAGGTCCTATAGGTGCCAGCTACAAAACGATGCAAAATGATGCAAATGTTGATGCAAATGCTTGTGAATGTGGCGTTCAGCTTGCACCTGGTAGGTGGGTGACACACTCCTTGGAGGCTCGGGAGGGAGAAAATGTAGCGAGGCACCAACCGTACCTGGCAAAGGAGAGGTAGCATGGTATCATCATGCAGCGCGGCCCAGCATGGCAGCATAATTAGTGAAAAAAGCACAGTTGCACCCGAATCATGCAGAATTGACTCACAGTCCAGGCAGCTGTCAATCTTTAGAGGTTGAGCTGCCAATCTTTAGGCTTGGACTAAAACTTTTACCTCCCAATGCAGGGCACTTCCTCCTCTGCCGCTGGCAGACGAACTAGGTCTCGAAACGCCTCTCCTGCTGCTAGACAAGTTTTGATGCAAAAGACCTTCATCTACGGACAAATATGATCAAATAGGACAAAAATGGACAAAATAATACAAAATATGTTTGCAGCATCGTTTGATGGATTTGCTTGGATATCTTGAGTCATTATAAATTATGAGTCATTAGCAAATTCCCATTAGCAGCTATAGCACATGTGCCGAGCACTGAAATGCGCCAAGTTGATCCGAGTTGCTTGATCTCCCCAGGCGTCGTTGGCCGTGACCCGGGTGAGGACTGGATCGTCCCTCGGGTGGAACCATCTGAAGAGTAAGGGACCTGCGGCTCGTTGCGACGGCTTTCGGCTGTCACCTGTGACATCCTGTGACCTTGACGACCTTGACGACCTTGACGACCTTGACCCAAAGCTTTGGGTGCCGATCAGATTTCGTCATGCCACAGCAATGCCTACAACGATGATGGAAACCGATCAGCGAGGATCAGCACCTTCTTGATGGGAAGGTGCCGCGCTGCCATTGCAAGAGCCAAAAGCTTTGATTTTTGAGTGAAAATTCTTGTATATTCTTATATAAGTACATTGTCGGCATCTTGTTGCGCTTCAATTCTGGTGTGGGTGATGTGGCTTGCGATGCTGGAATTCCAACGATTGGCCACAATTGGCATGTTTGCCCCACCGCCATACTTTGTGTGCCGCGACCCTGAAACTTAAACTCTGTTTTATATGTCAATGTGTTCTACCAGGATTCCCATCCTCCTGACATTCTTATGTCATGAAATGTGTCACATGCTATGGCTGCGGAAGGGGCCGAAGTCTCTTTCAGAGACCGCCTGAAGCCACAACTGCAAGCAAGACATAGCAAGACAGCAGAAAATCTTCCACTATCTTCTGCTTGATTTTGGAATCCTTCCTGGCATTTGTCCTTCCACTTCGTCTAGGACCTAGGAACAACTTATCTACGGTACATGTACGATGGATTTCGATGTATCTCTCCCTCTGATTCCACCAACGGGCTGGAGAAGGTTGGTCAGTGACCCGGGGTCCTGAGAGGCATGCTTTCGCTCCACTGATCCTGCAAACGGACGGTAGAAGAGCTTCATTACAGTTGCAGGCATTAAAGTCTGTGAACAAAACCGGACTCTCATACACAACGCCAAAAAACGAAAGCATCTATAATAGTCTGAAATGTTTGAATATCTTTAATTAAGATTTATTAAGTAACTTATAGTAACTTGCTAAGGCTCGCTTGAGTGAGCCACTTTGCCTGGCCTCCCTTCAAGAGTCAAAACATGTCAAAACAGCTGCAGAAGAACTTCGACTAAACTTTACCTGTCAATGCCTTCGTCAATGCCTTTCAGTGCCTGTCAGTGCGTTTCAGCATCGAAATCTCCTCCAGACTCAATGGATTCCTTGGAGTAGCCACCTCGAACGCCATAGCCATAGCTGTAGCCGCCATACCCCGAGCTGCCATAGCTGGGATAAGCACTGGGAACGCCGGCAGCGCGACCTCGTCAGGTCAGTGCATCAGTGCATCAGTGCATCTCTGAAACCTGACTGAGAATTTTTAAAAAACAAATGATGAAAATGATGAAAAATGGTGACATTTGGTGAACAAAATATGTGAAAAGATGTGTAAAATGTGAAAAGGTTGAAAGCTGGCATATGTGTAAAACAAAAATGTGAAAAGGTTCAACGTTCGTACTTCAACTGCTCTTCGAAGCCTCCTCGCCGGTAGTTCTGTCTGGTGCGGCGCGGGCTGCCACTCAGACGCCATGGATGTGGACTCGTTTCCGCCTTCCGTGAGAAAGTCCAGGCCAGAAAAGCATTGACAAAATGCGCAAAAACTCCAAATAATTCCAAATACTAATTATTCTATCTGTTGGGGGATTGCTATATTCATCTATATTCTATGGAAACAAATTAGAAAGGGCGTGAAACAAAGCACGAAACAAAGCACGAAACAAAGCACGATGAAACGCGGAATTTTGAGGTCAAGCTTGGGCTGGCTAAGCCAATCAAGCTATGTCGCATTATGTCGCAATGCCTTCGGCATTGCAGCCACATGACACTCGCCTTTGCCGGTCATGTGCGGTTACTTTGTTGCCCAAGTTATATCAAGGTATCACAATGTATCACATAATTGACATATCTCCCGCCACACGTGCATGGGAAGTCGAAACAGTCCGGATGACCAGCATCATTGATGCACATGTAAGATATTTAAGGGAAAGGAATTGTAGCCGTGGTCATCTGCAGATATCTGTGATCTGCACAATGCTGCGGCCGAATGCCATCAGTACTTCAGCACAGTCAGGGTCATGTTGTTCTCCGCTTTCTTGATCGCATCCAAGAGTTCATCGCCAAAGCAATCCTTGCCGTTGCAGCCCACAATTCGATCGCCCTTCTGCACCACATCACTGGGATGTTCTTTGTTCCACTTGGAAATGAGCCCGGATTCCACAACCTCATCAATCACACCCCCAATCGAGATGTTTTTGTAGTCCAACTTCACGCCCAATCCACCAGTCTTCACAAGTGAAATCTCCATCCTTCTAGGGCGGTTGATTCTCAAAGTCACGTTTTCCGCTGGTTTTTCATTCATCTTCTTCCAAATGGCATCAGTCCCACTGGTCTCATCCAGGGCGACCAAAACATCGTAAAGGCGAAGGCAGCGACTGGGATTCAACTCGTTGAACTTCTGGACAGCACCAGACTTCACTTCCTTGATCATTGGCATGGTGCTGCTGGTTTTGTCGATCTGAAGGCCCAGGGAAGAGAAGTCTTTGCATGGAATCGTGATGGTAAAGGATCCGAACTCTGGGGCAGGCTCTTCTTTCACCTTTTTCACCTCCTTCACCTCCAGCTCCTTGATCTCAGGGCTCGTCTTCGGCGGCAAAGCTTCTGAGACATTCAGATCTACTGTGCCCTGGGTTTCCTCTGCAGCACAGCAAAAGGCGAAAAACATGTTTGATGTTTGCGCACACTTGTGCCCGGTCGGATAAGACAAGTCTGGAGCAGCAGCACGTGCAAAATCATACAAGGGCAGAAACATGTCTGTCAATGTCTGTCACGTCTTCATGATGTAGGAACATATGTTGTCACTTCACCTTCGTTGACCATGCATGAACCGCTTGAACTCACTGCACGAAACAAATGCGATGCGGCAACGCGCGGGTTCTGCCTGACACTGCTTCCCAATCTCATGCCTCATCATTGCGGCAGCCTGGAAGGGCTTGGCATCTCAACAAGTTCTGTCATGTTCGGCCAATGTGCTGCACTGTGTTTGTATAAATGCGCCCCAATAGCATATCAGAAAGAATGCATTTATATGATGTTCATTGATATTCTTATATACATATATATATATACGTATGTATATGTGTGTGTGTGTGCGTGCGTGCGTGCGTGCGTGCGTGCGTGGTGGGTGGGTGGGTGGGTGGGTGGGTGGGGTGGGTGGTGTGTGTGTGTATTATTATACCGTTATATAATATATATACATATATTTTGTTATAGTAAAAGGATGTAAAAGGTATATTGGATTTCTCCATTCTTGGCTGGATGTCAGCAAAGCTCCAGCCAGCGCATGGTCTGTCCAGAGTGTTTGGGGAGGGAAGCATACATGTTGTGGCATGTCGCACAACGGCATCGCGTTTTTCTTTCTTTGCATTTGCTGCAATGGTCATTGTGACACAACCAATCACAACCATCCAACCTGACAAAGGGAAAACAAGGCGGTCGCATGGTCTTGGCACATCTTGGCACCATTTTCTAGACATTTCTAGACATTTGCCACGATCACGTGGCTGATGATCCAGTTTCATAATGTTTCATATGGTCACATCATTGTCACATCGCATTGTGAGCTAATCCCGGGATTTGGCCAGGAGCTTCCAAAAGAAAATCATCGGATGTCGAAAATGGGATTTGAATTTCCTGGACATCGATGTCGATGGACATCGCCAAGGCCCTTCAGAGATTCTTTAGCGATTTTTTGGCGATGGAAGCCCGATACTCTTCATCCAAGATGTCCTTGAAGTACTCTAAGCGGCCTTGGTGAGTGTCTGACTGGATCATCTTCTGCGCGAATTCCAATTGTCGTATTTCCGTGCCTTGGTGAGACATGGTGTTTTTCAATGTGGGCCAAGGCGCCAAGGCCAGGCCATGGTAGACACACACACACACTGCACCCGAGGACATCCGAGGACACTGTCACTGCACAGTGCATGTGCTTGAAGGCTCTCTTGAGCTACAGTATCGACTCACTGCTATCCACACCTATCATCTATATTATTTCATGTTATCTTTATATTCATCATTCATCTATATTCATCTATATATGTATATATTCCTAATGTCCTGTCAAGTCCTGTCGCATCTGCCAGGGAACTCTTCACCTGCTCAATGTAGTCACCTCTGAGCTGTTCGATTTGAGCACGGGCATCGGCTGGCAAATCATCAATGCTAATGCCTTCTGGCTTCAAGTACGGCTTGACAATCTCCTGCATCTGCCTCTCCTGGCTGCGCCGGATCTTGATGGATCTTGCGGAGCCGTGCGGAGCCGTGTGGAGCCCTGTGAAATCGGTGAATGTGATGACGATGAAAGGAACAATTAATTAACAGCTCCAGTGATCACTGATAACATCACTGATAACATCACTGATAACATCACTGATAACATCACTGATAACATCACTGATAACATCACTGATACATCTTATATGATCCCCATGGTTAACTACAGGCAAGCCATGGAAAGATTAGAAAGCCATGGAAAGCCCCACCACACAAGACTCGTCCGAGGCACGAAACCTGCTTGACTCGATCGCATGTCAGCCTGCAGAAGTTGAATCCACATCTCAGAGAGGCTCCACAGACCGTTCTCCTCTGATCTGCTGGAGTTCATGGCATTTAGGACGTCTGCTCTGTAGCACGGTTTCTTCAGCTCCTTGGGGCCAGCCGAAACAAGGTGGAAAAGAATATGGAAAAGACATGAAAAGACAACATGGACAACTACAAATCCGAAACGGATGGTGCAAACAAGACTAACAGAAGAGGAAGATAGAGGAAGGCGGGACTTGCTAATGCCAGGTAATCTACTTAGACTTATATATATATATATATATATCGACACCCTTCATGTTTTTGACACTGGCGTAGCGCTACAGTACCACTACTGACTTATGACCTACTGCATTGAAGCCATGCTGAGTTCCCACGTCCAAGGTCACACTCTGAATGCAAGGCACATTGTAAAGAGGCACCAACTTCCTCAGGAAGTCCATCACCTGTCCCCAAGGTGGATTCTGACGCGAACCAAGTTGGATACACCCCCCATTGGGACCAAATACACCCAACACCATCCAACACCTCCATACACCTAACACAGACAGCT